TCCAAACCTGTTAATGTGAATACAATAGAGCTACTTGAATCAGTTCCCCTCGCGCTAGCCAAACGATCATTTAATCACGCCGTGGGCCGTTAAACAACCCTGCAACCTCAGTCGAAAAAAAAGGTCGCCTGACTTTCAATTAATCAAATTATCGCGAAGAGGGTTGAGGGTTGAGTGAGGGAGATCGCTGCCACCACCACTCGAAAAATTGCAGCCGGGCAAACATTTGTCCACTTTTTGATTTTTTGCAATCTGTACAGGTCAAACTTTTCGAACTGGCAACGTTTATTTTTAGTTCTTTTGATTGTTGTCATTTGTCGCGCGCTCTGAGGAAACATCAATAAATTGTCAAAAGCTGTCAAAATTTTTAATGGCTGTGTGACGCCTAATAACCGAAAATCGATTTATTTGAGGCGCGGCATTTTGATATCGGTTTGCAATTTTCAATTCTCCTTTTTTATGATACTGTGAACAGTTTTATGAATTGCTCGCCAATAAATTCACCAATCCCTCTGGTTGATTAGTCGCCATTTTCTTTTTATCTTGTAATTTAACGTCAGCTGAACAATTTTTTAGGCATTTAAAAAACATTGAATATGTGGGCACTTCAAAAATCAATCATTCTCTTTGAATATCAGTCATGTTTTCCCAAATTTGATTTAAAATTATACCCAGAATTCGTTTCATATAAACGAAAAAAAATCAAAAGAAACTTAAAAGTATATTTTGAAATTCGAAATATTTAATTGCCCTTAACGTTTATTGTAATTTACAATTAAAATTGATGTTCATCTGGAAAGACTCTCGGAATGAATCTGATTTCGTTTTTATATTTCGTAGGCACGAAAGTAATTTGCATTTAAAATACATTCATAACATATATTTCTCGTATCGTTTATTCTATATATATGTAGGCATTTGTGTATGATAATGTTACAATGTTCTTTTAATAGATTCTTAAATACATGAATTCAATTTCCGTTTGTAATAAAATCGTTAAGGTACAGCATAGACATGACTTTATAGCCTCGATATTAATATTCAAGCAATGTGTCAATATATTGTCCTATGCCTATTAAATTATGATTATCTCGACAAACATTTTTGAGAGAAATTCGCTGGAACTATTTCAGGAGAACAAGCGGATTTACGCCCAATGAATAAAATGAAAAGAAGCAGCTTTGAAAGCCCCGAAATTGCATAGTTCCCACGAAATGCTTAAAGTGCAGCTCTTTTAAAGAACAAACCGCAACAATCAACACTTCTACACCTGTGCTCGATGATGAACAAACCGCAAACAGAGTTCCGCCCAACAGTTCTGTGAATCTGAAATCAACCCCATTTGCGGTACGAGTATTTACTGTAAAAGAGTATAAAACTCTAAAACTGATGTGCATGATTAAGTGCAAGTTGTGTTAACCCTTTTCGCCTCGATTTTTTGTTGGGATATCATTAAAGAAAAACATTTGATGGCAAAAAAAAAACCGGAACGTGGCACTGACAACGGGACAAGTCAATGGTTGTATAACATGCATAAATTATCGTAACTGTAACAGTCGCACATACATATTTCACTTCATTAACGGCCAGCACCCCTTTGGCGAGAGTGCCCTTAACCCTTTCTGGACAGTGTCGGGAACGAGTGCAATGGCATATGCAAATAATGCCGCATCATTAGTGCGTGCAGAATCTGAAACAAAATCAGAATCAGAATCGGCATCAAAACCAAAATCAGACTCAGACTCAGATTCAGTGCAAGTGCAACGCACATTTGAAAGGGTTGCGGTTGCTGAGTGTGGAGCACGTGTCGAGCGGCGACCGAAACATTTTTGGACTGCACTCTAAAAACTAAACTCGAACCTGCGACCTCATCACGGTCATATGTGGTTACTCTATTTTTTGTTGTAATCTTTTATTTTTTCTGTGTTTGCATATGCTCTTGTTCCCAGCGATTAGTAAGCTATGGATATGGAAAATTTGTTTTTAGCCATTTGTCTGTTGCGGTTTGGCTGGGTCAAAAGGGTTGACAGCCGAATGAGTGCCAAAATAAGTTTGAGTGTTGAGAATGTGTAAAGTGATTTCAGCTTTAGTTTCTTAGTCATTTTTTTTGTTGTGTGTCTTTATGTAACTCTCATGTTTCTATATGGGTCCAAAAACCAACCTAAATCTCATTTAGACAACTATTCCATAACAAGTCAGCTTTTGTATTGTATATGTTTCAAATCTAAATTTATAAATCAACACACATAAGTTCTCCCTTCACGGAAATCTATTCTATTAACTTTGTTCAGCCTCAAAATTTCAGCTTATCATATGTTTAACGCCTCCTGCAATCGTGTTCGGTTCTGGTGGGTTTTTTCCCACACACAGAGACGGCAAATTAAGCCACAACAAATTTGACCTTGTTAAGTTTTGCACAAATACCGGCAAAAACAACGAAAGAAAAAAAAAGGGAGAAAACCCAAGGAGGCTGAGATATTCCCAGCATTGTTTTATGGCCAGCTCACATTGCCGAGCGTCGACAAGGCAGTTACCTACCTCAGTTTTGTAGGTGATCAATGGGCAGTGCCGGCACCGAGCATCCACCATCCACTATCCAGCATCGAGAATGGCGTTGCAGCGGACAGGTAACCACATTTAATCCACTCATAAGTCACGCCGTCGTTTTGTATCCACTCAAAAGTTGAACTGTGTGTGTTTCTGTGTGAAGCGAGGGAGGAGTTCCAAATTAGCTGGCACTGACAAGAAAGCAAGTTGGAAGTTTGTTTTGGATTACGCAAAACTTGAAATGTGAGAATTTGAAGATATAACAAAATAAATGCTTTTTCGAAAAGTCTGTCGTTCATTGCCATTGTAAATGTGTTTGCAGTTTTAAGTTGTTTATTGTAAACTTTATATTTTAAATTTATGTTTCAAATTTGTGGACCGAAAAGTGGCTGTATGAGAACGATAAGCTAATTGAAATAATGTTGGCAATAGACAAATGAGTAAAATGTATATTGTAACCATTTGCTCAAATTAACAGGGATAAGTGTTAATCTGTGTACATCAATTACATTCAATTAACTACTTAGACAAGCCGCTGCTAATACTCGTCTACATCGTCTGCATCACGGCAGTTGTGGCTTTCTCATTACACAATCTGCCAAGCAACACAAGCAACAATGTCGGCAACAACCACAACAAGAGCCAAAGCAATAACAACCGCAACCTACAATAAAGAAGATCTTTTGGACGCCGACAAGTGCAAGAGCGGCAACAACAACAAGAAAAGCACTGGCAGTGTTAAAAAAAAGAGCAAAGCACAACAACAACAAGAAGAGGAACAGCACATATAGGTAAAGGTAAAGGAATCCCAACTACTCGAGCACGACGATCGCCTTCACCTTCGTCCAGGGCAGACATATGCATACAAGACAGCGATGAGGATGATGATGATGACGATGATGCGACGATGTGATTGAAACAAAACATCTTATTATTACCTACGAACGACCGACCGACCGAACGACCCCGTGCGACCTCGATGTGGACCTGGGACATGGACCACTCTCTGACACTGGACACAACAAGCAAAAACAAAACCAACAACAACAACAAAAAGAGCGTGCAAAAGCAAATTCCCACGCTCAGAGTCTGCCTTTTGTCGACGCCGTTGTCGTTGTCGTTGTCGTTCGTCCCCATATAAGGCGCAATCTGGGAAACGTCCTTACCGCCCCCCATCCGAAGATTGTGCAAAAACTGAACTCAGTGCCAAAAAATATGGCTGTGCCTTTCTTGCAACGCCCTCAAACAAAAGTTTTGGTTATTATTTTTTTGTCTTGTAGGCAGGACCCAGAAGTTTTGTGATTGATTTCACTTTGGGGTTTTGGTCATGGCTCTTGCGCATCATTTCTTGACTTTCACAGCTCATTGGGCTCGCCATGTCGCTCACACGTTGCCATATCCAGACATGCACATCCACACACACATATCCATATTCATGTACATACATGGAGTGGCCTACAGACAAGTTAAAAATCGACAGGTATCAAGTGTTCAACGCTCATAATTGTAGTATTTAGTGGTGCGTAAATTGTAATTGACCAAGGGTACTCAAGCGAAGGATTAAGTTTCCATATTATTAATAAGAATACAAATTATTTTTATTCTACATATATTAGAAAAAATATCTTTTATTTTTGACTTTTTTTTTATATTTTATACATGTTGTTTGTCTAAATTATTTAGCATAAAAGAAACATTTAATGTAACTTTTAGCTATATTTGAATTTGTAGCATTTCTAAAATTTTAAATATTCTATGTATATATATTGTTTACATATTTTAAATTTGGTTCTTATGTCTTGATAAAGCACTTTTTTGAATCGCCCTAAGCTTGACTTGCTCGTTCCATTGATTAATATAAATATTATAATAATTTTATTAATGTACCGTAAAATCAAAGACCATAATAATTGTATTCAATGAAAACTGAGACGCACTCAACTCAACAAAAACCAGCATCCAGCAGATGCTTGAGCAGCCTGGGAGTTTAAGTTTGAGTCCAGGTCGGGTTTTTTCGTTGCCTGCCCGTGAAATCAGTGTTATTGATCATAGCTGCATAATCAAGTTACCGACGCTTTTCATTATGTTGCCAGTTGCCGAAAAAGCATCCACCACCACCACCAACAATCACAAGTATGCTCGAGATCATCAACAACATCATCATCTACACAACAATCATCATCATCAGCAGGAATAACATTTATGTGTTGTGTTGACCAACAGGTTGCCTGCTTCGGCTTCCGTATTCAACTTCACCGCACTGTTGAGGGTTGCTTACTCAACACAGACAATGTTGCGTTGGTGGTGTGGGCAGTTGCCAAAGCAGCTGGTGGTGTGTTGGTGGTGGTAGTTGTAGTGGTGGAGATGGTGTTTCATGTTGAGTTGAGTTTTTAGCTTCAACTTGTTCGGCATTCGGTCGCAATTCGCACTTGTGAACGGTCGTGTTTACGCGTCGAATCCAAAATAATACAAATCTGCAAAACGGTTAAGAGTTCAAATAAACACACGTCGTCACAGTCAGTTGTCACTTGCCAGTTGTCAGTTGCCAGTTGCAATTGAAATCAATTGAATGCAATTTGCGAGTGCAAAGTTTATCCAGCGAGCTAAACAAAATGTTTGCCTAAGACAATTTCGTTAATTAATTTGTCGCGTGTGTCGCCAAGTGTTTTTCGTTCGTGTAAAATCAGCACCATAATCCAAGTCGCTTCTTCCATCAACTCTAATCGAAAACATAAACAAAAGCGCTTAACTATGGCCGACGAGAGTCTGCACACAATGCCACTGGAGCACAATATAGACTATCACATTGTCACATTGTTCGAGCGCTTGGAGGCGATGCGCAAAGATTCACACGGCAATGCCATCAACAATCGGTTCTCCAGCACCCTGCAGGTGCCCAAGCGCAGCATGCAGGCCGAGATACGGACCCTGGAGTTTTGGAGGTGGGCAAATAGCTTCTATGGCGTCTACTGAATTCGAATTTGTTCCCCATTCCACTACTACTCCATAGTCATAGTCGTTGTTTTTATATCAGACTTGCTCTTTGTTTAGCTTGTTTATTGTTTTTTGTTCTTTTTTTTATGCGAATTCTAGTCGGTAGCTGTATTTAACTTTTGTGTCTCTGTGCATTATGTAGACATGGCCGCTTGAATAATGCTTAACTAAGTGAAATTGAAGTGGTTTGTGTTTGTCCATGGCAGATACTTGGATAACTTCACTTTGAGTTCGCAATTACTTATTTAAAACTTTGGAGCAACATTTTAATTGCCACAGCACAGCAGATGAAACAGTCGATAATAATTAATAATAATAATAATTTGATGAAATAATATTTCTAATTCATTATTGAAAATTCAATTAATTATTTTATTATTTCTATAGATTACAATGGCAGAATAGTTAATTTTTAACGTTTTCACAAAAGATAAGTAGCAGTAATTTTAATTACAGAAATAGTTATTATTTTCTAATCATATGAATTGTTTAGAGACTGAAGGTATATATTTAGCAGTATATAATATAAAAGATATAAAAAATGATGTGCATCATAAAACTATATTTATATTTGTTTCTTGCATTTAATTACAAATGATTTTCAGTTGTTATTTGATTTAAAAAATTGTCATTAATTTTGGATCAGTCATTTGAGTAGGATTAAACAGAGACGTATTTCTATAATTGAGTAGTTTCCGAGAATTTCGAATTATGAATTATATAAATAACTATTAAGATTATTTTTCGAATCTTTTTTCCCTTATTTTGGATTTTTTAGGTTATTAAATATATCAAGCTTTTCTTGGTATTTCTTCCCATTACAAGAAATGACACGTTATTATTTTTTTATATATTTCTTTATATACATTTTTTTTTTAAGTTTAGAATGATGGAACATTTTACAATTTCATAAAAGCCAACTAATATTTGTTAACCATACACATATATTTTCAACTTGCAACATTAACATAAATCCTCCCAAACCATTTCATAATAACAACATATGCAAGGACGAATAGTTTACTTGACTTCTTTATTGGAAAATTAATAACATGTTCAAAATTAATTTTAACAAATTGAATCTGTGAATCTCATTAAAATGATGTCGAACGCAGTTTAAAAAGTTTTTGTTTTTCATATTTGAAATGTAAAACAAAAGTTTGCGTTTAATGACCTGTGTGTCCAATGCAGCAGCAAAATAATGTCCGAGCATAAAGTAAAATAAGCACTTGGATGAGTTTGGGAATAGTAGTTTGTACCAATTAAGCGCCATCAGAATACTGAAGTTGAACATGGAATTGTATGGAAATTCATAAATGCAAAGTTGGGGGCAAAGCAACCAAATTGCAGCTGGCCCTCAGACGCCGATGTTGTTTGTCTTCAGTTGCAGTTTTGTTTGATTTTTCGTTATCGCTAAAAAGCGGCAAGGGCGGAGTCCGTTTTATATTTTATGTTTTACTGTCTGCTGTTGTTGTTGTTGTCGTTGTTGTTGCTGCTGTTGCTGTTGCTGTTGCTGTCCAGCGACGACGACCTCATGCAATCGGCACTCCAAAGTCAGCAGCTGCTGCCCCTTTGGGTTTGTATCTGTGACTGTGGATTCTTGCTGTGTTCTTCCCTCCGTGTTGGCTCTGTGTGTGCTTAATTGTCATGCAGCAAAGGCACTGAACAAGGCTGACATTGTGTGCAATTTGTAAGCTCAACATAATTTCTGGCATATATTTACTTTAATCATATGAAATGACATGCCCCAAACTGAAGTATGCATCACAAGCAGCCCCGCCAGCCCCACTCGCCATCTCACCAACCATCTATGTCTTCTCTCTTTGCAGATCCATCATCAGCGAGTGCTTAGCCTCGTTCCTGTATGTGTTCATCGTTTGTGGCGCTGCAGCGGGCGCCGGTGTGGGTGCCAGTGTCTCCTCCGTGCTGCTGGCCACATCTCTTGCCTCCGGCCTGGCAATGGCAACGCTAACGCAGTGCTTTCTGCATATATCGGGTAAGTCGAAACAAAAAAAAATATATAAAAAAAGAAACGAAAAACAAATGAAAACAAACAGACAGGCGACAAGTGTTGCATGTTTTTTTTTTTTTTGTTGCGGCTGCGTTGTTGTTGTTGCTGGCGACACAAGCTTCACGCGCGTGGGAATTTCGCTGCCACCAAGCAACAGCAGCCGGAGCAGCAGCAGTCGGCACAAGAACCCCATTTCACATGCCACACATATATTTTTCGTTTGGTTTCTTCTTTTCTTTTTTAAATAATTTTCAAAAAGCCAACGCACTGCGGCTGTCGCCCACTCCCGACTCAGTGTCAGACTCCTGCACCACCAGCTCCTACTCCTACTTTCAGTACGTCTCCCCTTACAACAGACCCCCCTCCCTGCATCCATGTTGCACTCGTATTTTTCCTCCTCTTATCTTAACGGGCCGCACTTGTAGTGGCGTCGACTCTGGCCCCTGTCTGTTATTTTATTTTTCCGTGTTCCGCACAAACTTCCTTGTGTATTTGTTCATCTGCGTTGACATTCAAGGCAATTAAATGTTTCCACAAAAACATCATATATGTGTGTATATGTTGGGTGGAGAGTCCTCCCCTTGAGAACATGTGTTCTTGATTTGCCTTAAAGTTTCGTTATTTTTCTTTTATTTTTTTTTGTATCTGCTCTTTTCACAGCCAATTGGCTGAGCATTAAGTTATGATGTTAACTCACCCAGCTCTGCCTCCTCCCAAAACAAATACTGTTTCCACGAAAGTGTCAAAATGTTATTTAACGGTTTCCAAGCAGCGATTCGAGTACATTAATTATACAGTGGGCACAATTGAGGTGCAACCGGAATTTAACAAATTATTTCTGTCAACACTTCAGCTACTCTTCTGAGAGATGTTTATTTTTGCTTATAAAGTGATGTTATCATGGCTGAAAACTTGAGTTAATTTCTAGCTGCTTGGTAAACTTCAGCTTGTGAGCATTTATATTCTCTGACAGTTTAAGAACAATGTTGTTAACCTAGGCAACTGGCACAACTGTTCTGCGTGTTAAATATTTTATGATTAATCCACTTATCTGCATTTTTCTTTCGCTTCACAGGCGCACACATCAATCCCGCCGTTACCTTGGCCTGTTGTGTGGTGCGTAGCATCTCCCCAATCCGGGCCGCCATGTACATGACCGCCCAGTGTGGCGGAGGCATCGCTGGCGCCGCCCTACTCTACGGGTAAGTCAATACATATACATACATATAAGTAATTATGTGGATATTCATTAATCTGAGCCATAAGCTGATTAATTGATATATTTACAGTGGGTAAAGACATAGGAAATCTGAATTGACTAGCTTCCACACAGCTTGAATAACTCTCTGAGGATAAATAACTTTTGAGAAATAAGCATTGACAGCAGTAAATAATTATTTCATTCAACTTAGGATTGGTTTTAGCAAGAAATCCACATTTTTCATATACCACCGATGTTACTACTATATTTGATGTCAAGTTAATAGTTCTCTTCTTAGATTCCTAGTTACGATCTCAATTATATAATTTCCATCCCATTGATTGTTGATTTCTCCAGCTGGTTAGTCATCTGCTCAGAGTACTTTATAATTTAAGATTTATCAGCTAAAATGCTGCTGCTGCACATCTTTAAGTTTTCTCAGCTGACTGTGCATTGCAGTGTAGTTGTTATTGTTATTGTTGCAATGAACATCACTGCAGCTTCCAAGTATTTTGAATGACCGGAAAGTGGTACAACAAAGACTTCTCCTTAAGCAGCTTTAATTCTACGAATAGGAATTGAATTGAGCGCCGAATGCATTTCGATTTAGGTGCAACTTTTAAATATCGTTGACTGGGCAAAGTTTTGCTGAGGGCAATGGGCATTTGCATGGTCAGAGATTTGGGTTTTGTGTTAACAAAGCCAGCCCGTTGCTGGTGGGCCAAATAACTTTTGAATTAAATTCCAACAAGGTGCTCAATGTCACTCAAATCACTAACGACTGATGCGATGACTGTACAAGGACACATTACCCAAAAACCATTTACCATTTACAGGAAATACAAAGTTCATGTGCAAAAAGCAGGGAAGCGAACTAGAGAAATGTATAAATAGGATATGCAGGTAGACGTTGTGTCCTCTGCACACACACACACACGCACACACACACGCAGACAGCATTACGCACAAGCACCTGCATAGGACGCAGGTAGATATCTTAGCAGAGCTAGGAGTTTTTACCACGTCTACCCACGTTTATAAACTAGAGAAAACATCTGCCACTGGCAACGTGATTTCCAATTTTATTTTTTTTTGAAAAATACGCTGCTGTCAGGACCGGATTCCTTTGTCGAGGCCATCGCCATGTGCTGCCTAGATACACACACACACACACACACAAATGCGTATACATAATTGTGCGAGGATACGCACAAATCTTTCTTCGAGCCTGTCAGCGTCTTTTATGCCTAGATAACAGCGCAAACTCGACGCAGGATATGCGTGTGGAATATCACTCTTTGTGTTCGAGATACTTTTCTGTAGGGGAAACGAGAAAAAACAAATACAAAACAATGAAGCAAAATGTCTACTTTGTGCCTTTGCCACGGCTCCTGCTCCTTCAGCGACTGCGCAGCATTCTTCAAACCGAAATTTCGCTCCAATTTTTCTCCTTTTTGGAAAGATAATGCGCCTGTGCAGCTTGCCACTGTCTCTCTCCCTCTTTCTCTATCTCTCTCTCCCTCTCTCTCTCCCGGTCTGTCTGTTCAACATCTGTTTTGCTGTTGATTTTTACCCCTGGCTCCTTTTTATTTTTATTATTTTTTTTTAAGTGCGTTGGCATCTTTACTTTCTACAGTCGACAGTCGGAGCAATCCGAGTAGCCGCTGCAACCGAAACATGTTTCAGCTGCTACTCCGATCAGGTTCGTATCTGTTTTTTCTTTTTTTGCTCCTCTTTTTTTGTTGTTGTTGTTTAGTATCTTTAAAGGGTCCCAACGAGTTCAAATTGTGTTTTAGCTTGAAACATATGTTTCCAAAAGTCTCTGCACCGTTTAAGTGTGCGTGTGTCTAAGTGTGTGTGTGTGTGTGTGGCTGTTGATTAATTGGTTAAGATTTTGTGGTTTCGGGTGGTTATTAGATTTGAGTTCGACTGTCAGTTTGAGGAACGCTCAGCCGAGATTGATGCCAGAGTTAAAGAAACGTAATTTAAGCCCAAAATTCAGCTCAAAAGATTGTGGTTATTTTTTAATGAATCGTCGGCAGTTTTATTAGCTATAATATTGATTGTTATAATACTATTCCCATCAACTCTAATTCCTGTAAGAATGCGAGAATCCTTGGCAGGTTGAGGCTTTCTATGCCCCTGTTTCACTAAAATATTCCATATTTTCTTGGCTAAGGCAATACAATCTGATCTGATGAGGATTGAGGAGTCTTTCTCATTATCGCAAACTTGGCAGGGTACTGACTATACCCAGTTTCGTTGTGTGACTTCTTAGCCTAGTATGTCCTGTCAAGTTTAACCACCAAATACAGCAAATATTCAGTTTGAATAAATTATTAAAATATGGTGCCCTGGTATCAATATAATATACATATACATATGTATTTATATACTTATAGATAAAGTTACTTATTTTTTAATCAAGCTGAAAACAACTAATAATTCTTCTATACTTCTGTACTGTTTCATCTCTCTGGCTTTTTGATTTCTACAGCACTCCTACAGGACAAGTTGCTTACATTTGAGCTAATCTTTTGCGTTACAAATTGAAACAAGTCCTTGATACTCATATAGAGTCAACAAAATTTCATTTTGTACACACATACTTATATGCATATGTATATACATATGTATGTATATATGCATACATAAGTACTCTTGTACCGCTTGTACAGTCATCCCCCGCACACACGCACTTCACACTGTCATATTTCAATTGTCGCTACCCTAATTGCCAGACCCATGTGTCGCATGTGCCGCGGGAACGTTGCCAAGACATACTCGTAAATGCTGAAGCTAAAAACGCCCTGTTCGCTTTATTATTTTTAATTTGATATTTTTAATTTTTTTTGCTTCAAAAATGGTATGACAGGCCCGCAGCATATTTTAAGTATCGATATCCGGCTATGCGATATTTTAAGATTCCCGTTTGCTTCGTTATTGTTATGCCAGTTGAGTTCTGTGGATTTTCAATGAGGATTCAGTACACTTTCTGGCCTGTGGCCGTCGAACGTGCGCCAAGCACGTTCCACAAAAATGCCAAAGCAGCCTTTATTTTTACTTCTTTTTTTTTTTTTAAATGATGAAAGATAAAAATCAGGTAGAGGTCGAAAGCAAAAGCGCATAATTAACATTGGCATTGGTTCTTCTGCTTTGTTCAACTCCGTTTCTGGCGTCTTTTGTCGTCGTCGTTGTCGTCGTCGTTGCGGCTGCGCCTGCGCAGGATGCGTCGGAAACTTGAAATCAAACACGTGTCGCCGGCGCTGCTCTTCGATCTGGTTGGTCAGCCAGCAGAGGCAGCTGCAATAAGCAACGGAACAGCATAAATGAGCGCAGTTCAGCAGGCAACACACACCTGCCGCCCAAAATTACAGTAGTGCCACAGCGCAGCAAGAGATACATACGAAAACAGGATTTTCGAGTTGAAAATTTGAATTTTAAATGACAACAAAAAGAAGAAGAAACACGCCGAAAAGGCAACAGAGGAGTGAGATTCTTGCATTCAGTTGGTTTCACCTCCAGTGGATTTGTATCTAGCATGGCAATGCATTTCCTGTATTTGCATTGGACAGTTGCAAGGAGCACAAAGCGAGGCATGAAATCCAAATACAAATCCAAATCGAAATCCAAATCGAAATCGAAATCGAAATCAATTCGTGTCACATAGGCAATTGAATTAGGGAATCGATGCACAGTTGCGTTGATTTCGTTTGATGTCGCTTTCGGGCTTATCGCTTGCAACATGAAAATGGCATCCTGTTGGCGCTTCCGGTCGTTGGTCTTTCTACCTCCAACTCCTCAAAACTGAACGTTGCACAGCTGGTCCACTTAAATATGAGTATGTGTGTGTAAATGTGTGAATGTGTGTGTGTACCTGACACACTCACCTCGAGAGCAAAACATTGTAGCAGCTTGTTTAATTCCTAAACCTGCCACAAGAAACGAAATATTTGGCAATGCACATTTTAGAAATTGGAATTTCAGGCCAAATATTTGTATGAATTTTATAATTAATTGCTTTGTGGCACAGTCAATAACAAATTCTGTCTGCTATTTGAATATAAATTAGGCATTTTAATTGCCACACAGCATGATTTTAATGTGTTGGTTTCGTGTATGAAGTTGTATTGAAAAAGAAGCTGTAATTTTATTTGATATCATTAAATTGTACACCAAATAAATTAAATACAATTCAGTTGCTATTCGCTTAGTTCTATATAGAATAAATTGCCATTTACTCTGTGTGCAATCATAATCAATAATATATATATCAGAGTTTCGGTGTCAATGCAAACATTCCCAGTTGCCCCAACCAATTCACACGCATCCTATGACCAAAAAAACCAAACTAAAACCCCAGAAGACCACAGGGCAGCCGAGCGTGTTGCACATAGCACATATCGCCGCAGTTTCCATGCGGATGTGGCGGCAACAAATGGGCAAGGAAATGTATGTTGCCTCTCATTTTAAACCGGGCACTCTCAAACACGCCAACTTGCTACAGTTCAAGTTGGCTGCTTCTTGTAATATGTTATTCTTTCATTTCATTTTCTCTTCTTTTTTGTTCTAATTTTCTTTTTGTTTGCCTTTGTTGTGCGCGAACAATTTTGGCCAGGATTGGAAGCTGCAAAGATTAAAGGCACATAAAGTTTTGGCAACATTTTGCTATTTCCCGCTACTTGGCTGAAAGTAGATGTTTGTGTGTATGTGTGGAAAATTAACACTATATCCACTTATGAGCAAACAAACCAAGGCCAAAATCAAACTGAAAAAATAAACACAAAATAATAAGTGAAGCCGAATGCTTTACTAAGCGCTTAAAAATTTAATCAGCGTGCAATGAAGTGAAAAATTGTTTGGGTCAGCAAAAATATGTGGCACTATATTTGCCAAGCAGCACACACACTCATACACTCAGAAAAAAAAACGCCAAGCGTAACTCATCTTATTATTCAGAAAGTATAATTCCAAATCGGAAGGTTTTTTTTTCCAATTTCCAGGATGTTTTTTAATAATTAGTACTCTAAGATTTCTTACATACCATTTTAAATAGTTTCTAATGAATTAGAATGGTTTTTTTTTGAGTGTAGAGGTGTAAAATAGTTCAACATACAAACGTATTTTCTCTTTCAAATACTTGAGCTTTTCACATTTTCCATAGTCTACTTTATTGGCACAACTGCTATTTGCGGGCAAAGCTGCTGCTTATTGCCGTTAAGCTGGCAAGGATATTGCTCCTTGCTTGTGCACCTGATGGTGGCAACAACTTCTAGTTTGTCCTTGTCACTCATTCTCTCACTTACATTGAGTGCTGTATTTGTTCAAGTACCTTCAAGTGCATTGCAAAAGCATTTATTTTCGGATTTTCGCAGATATTCAATGTTTCGCTGTTGATGTGCAATTGGCGTTGCGGTGTGCATCCGTTGCTCGTTTATTGAGAGCTTACCAAATATTTACCCAAACAGCACTCATATGTGTGAAAGCAAATAGATTTACGAACATCTCTGTGTTCGTACTCAACAACTCAACAAAAACGGTTGGTTTATCGGATTGTTTTTCATATTGCTTTCAATAAACCTCGTTAACAGCAGCAGTTTAAATAGTAAACGTGACCAAAAGTGTTGTTTTAATATCAATTACAATTAGTCTGTGCACAACTGAGCTTAATTCACACCAACTGTAAGTCAGTAAACTCATTAGCCTTGTCACATAAATTCAAATCGTGCATAAATCATAAAGCAGTTGAAAAACTTTTACACCGCATGGTGCCTGGAAATAGGCAACAGTCTTTGTCGCTAGGCAATTGAAACTTTGGCAATCTAAATTATGGTTTTCTTACTTCCTTTACCCACATATGAAGAGACATCTACTTATTTAGAGTGGCAGTAACTTACCGTTCATGAGTTGCTGATGATGGGTTTTGTTTATGAAAACTGGTAGCATAAATTGCAAATGAGTGTAAAACTTTTCTCACAATCTGCTATACATTAATCAATGGAAATTTGTTTCTCTCTCTCTCTCTCTCTCTCTCTCTCTCTCTGTCTCTGTATCTGTCTCGTTTTTTTATATAGTGTCACCGTGCCGGGCTATCAGGGCAATCTGCAAGCGGCAATCTCGCACAGCGCCGCGTTAGCCGCCTGGGAACGGTTCGGCGTGGAATTCATACTGACATTCGTTGTGGTGCTCTGCTATTTCGTATCGACCGATGCCATTAAGAAGTTCATGGGCAATTCGGCGTTCGCCATCGGTGCGGCATACAGCGCCTGTTGCTTTGTGTCGGTAAGTTTGACATTGATAATGATGCTTGAGGAATGCTTCAACGCAAAATCTGAAGACCCGAGTCCCAAGACTTGAGACAGACTAAATAAGAAAAGAAAAAAAAAACGCACCTGCCGTTTGCGCATTTGTGTATGGTGCAAAAATCGCAGCGTGACAAGCGCTGGTTAACGTTAAGCCGTCGAGGTCTCAGGTAGCCAACAAAGGGTCCCGAGAAATTGGCGGAGAGATAATTAATTTAGCACAAGTCATGGCCGTACCATGTTTATAACATTGCTCCGTCTCCAGGGCCAGGGCCAGGACCAGAAATTAAAAGCAAATATTTAGCCAGTTTGTTTAGTCGGACAATAAAAATGAAATTTATATGGATTGGCATTGCCATTTCAGTCAGTCAGTACGATAATTTTCAAACATCAGCAATAAAAAAAAACAAAAAAATAGTCAATTAGTCAATTTATTGACTAAATTGAGAATTTGTAATATGAAATTCGTACAACATATAATTCAGTTCGTGAGAAATAAAAATGGATTAATTAAACATATAATGCCAAACAAGATTTAAATGTACGAAAAAGATAAAAATATATATAAAATAGAATTTACAAAATCAGTGATTTTTTATTGGACGAAGACGTTTGAATTTTAAATGAGTTCCAACTGAATATATTATGCATATTTATGTATATATCAACAAAGTCAAGTTTTCTTCTAAAATTTCATGTTTTTAACAATATGTTTTTGCATTTGATCCATTGCAGATGCCCTATCTGAATCCAGCTCGCTCTTTGGGTCCATCGTTTGTGCTTAACAAATGGGATAATCATTGGGTATATTGGTTCGGACCGCTCGTTGGTGGCATGGCTTCTGGCCTGGTTTATGAGTACATATTCAGCTCGAGGCGCAGCGTGCGACACGCAAAAAGTAGCATTGACAACGACTCGAGCTCCATCCACTCCGAGGATGAGCTCAACTACGACATGGACATGGAGAAGCCAAACAAATATCAACAATCACAGGGCACATATCCGCGTGGCCAATCGAATGGAGGCGCTGCAACAGCAGCTCAACATGCCAACGCCGCCAACATGGCCCAGATGGGTGTTGTGGGTGCTGGAGCGGGCAACTACTGCCAGAATCTGTACACTGCACCGCCACTCTCATCCAAGTACGACCAGCAGCAGCAGCAGCAGCAGGAACCGCTCTATGGCGGCACTCGTTCACTTTACTGCCGTTCCCCAACTTTGACTCGGAGCAGTTTGAATCGCTCACAGTCTGTTTACGCCAAGAGCAACACGGCCATCAATCGTGACATTGTGCCACGTCCGGGTCCATTGGTGCCGGCACAGAGTCTTTACCCTATGCGCACACAACAGCAACACCAGCAGCAGCAGCAGCAGCAGCAACAACATCAGCAACAACAACAGCAGCAGCAGCAGCAACAACAACAGCAACAGGCAGTTACAGCAGCCCAATCTTCGCATTTACAAAACCAAAATGTGCAAAATCAAATGCAGCAGCGCTCTGAAAGCATTTATGGCATGCGTGGCTCAATTCGCGGTCAGCAGCAACCACTGCAGCAGCAGCAGCAACAGCAGCAGCAACAGGCAACGGTAACAATGCAACAGCAACAATTGCAGGCGGCACCGCAGCTTTTGTCGGAGCCACAGTCGCAACCACAGGGCTTCCAGCCAGTCTATGGATCACGCAACAATCCCACACCACTCGACGGCAATCACAAGTTCGAGCGACGCGATCAACTCTATGGGATGACTGGACCAACAAGGAATCGCGGTCAGTCTGCCCAGTCCGATGATAGTTCGTATGGGTCGTATCATGGCTCGGCAGTCACGCCGCCGGCACGCCATCCCGGTGTGGAGCCATCGCCGCCGCCACCACCAATGCTGATGTATGCACCACCACCGCAACCAAATGCGGCACATCCACAGCCCATACGGACGCAATCCGAGCGTAAGGTAAGTGCGCCCGTTGTTGTCTCACAGCCGGCTGCCTGTGCCGTCACCTATACCACATCCCAGGTGCCCACAACGGTCACAACAGCAACACAGCAACAGCAGCAGCAGCAGCAACAGCAGCAGCAACAGCAGATGATGATGCAGCAACAGCAGCAGCAGGCTCAGGCACATCAGCAACATTATGCCATGCTGCCGTTGCGACCCAACTGAAAGCGGCTCTCTTGGGGCCCCGTAACGACGCCGCCGCCAACAATACACGCTGCCCTCGCCATCCATCCCACGGGCACCATGACCCTGCACAGCTGCAGCCTAGCCAAGCAGAGCAGTTTATTTTAGTGTAGTCAGGGCCATCCAAAGCATCCTAGCATTTAGTTGAACCTATCACACATACACACACACACACACACACACAGTTAAGTGCAGTTTTCATTTCTAAATTCAAGCTATCAAAAACGCATTCACATAAGTATATACATATATATATAAATGTATACTAGACTAGAGATAACAGACGAAACATAGCCACAATGTATTATTAATATGGGAGAAGTAAGTTGGAACTCACACCTAGCAGCAGACAACACTAAGACACAACGATAACCATAAGTCACATTAGCAACTTACATATAAATATATATCCCCCAATCCTTCCATAATATTTACTTTCTACTCATAATCAAAGTTCAGTGATTTCAACGATTGCAAAAAAATACAAAATCATAAATACTTAAAAAAAAAGAAAAAATAACTCAGCACTACAAAAATCCTACGATATATCAAAAATCAAAAATATCTATGCAGTTTCGAATTAGTAGTATTTTTGTTGTTTTATCATTTTTTTTTTAGTTTGTTATCCCCTTTTGTTGGGAATTTTTGTAGTACATATTTTGAGACTATAATTTTTAAATCAACTTTTATATCATATATATTTTTGCAAGTCTATTTGAATTCAGCGAAGACAGGTATAAATAAAATGAAGATTGTAACTGAGTTATTTATACGAAGCTATATTATAATTAGTTTGACATATGTTCAATATTTTAGTTGCTTAATCCTCTTCACACTTTTTATTTGCATTAAGAGAAGACTAATATAATATAAATGTGTAAATACATGCGAATAATTACGTAGTTTAAATGTTATGCGAATAACTGATGCGGAAATGTAACAATATTTATGTAAATGTTAGGCTATTAAACATACATTTAAAAACTGTAGGTATAATTTATGATAATATATTCATATGTAACCATTGAATGCTTTGTATTAATTGTAGGCAATACAATGAATATTTAAAGCATTGGAAAAAAAAAAAAACAAAGATATATCAAATACAAAAATTGTTCAATAACCTAGAAAAAAACATGTTTTCTTAATTCTCTTTGATTTGCAATGTTGGTCAATTCCTGAAGCTATGACCAACGGGAGGATGTGCTATAACACATAACGCGTGGCATGCAAAGCTAAATAGACATTAAATTTCCCATCGAGTCACGTGTTGCAGTGCTGTGCAATTATGCAAAGTGCAAAATGAGTGCTGAGAAATGGCGTATTGAGTGATAGGCGGGCAACTTCAAGCAAATTCTGTAAACCGCGTGTTTTTTCGTATCTTCCAACAGAGATATATCGAAATAATTATTGAATAATGCAAAGGTGCGTGTACTACAGGAATGAGAATGAAGGTGTGTCCCCAAAAGAAATGTGCACCAAAATCTCCGTTGCATCGCCCACGCCAACAACGATAAACAAACGTTTTCGAGTCGTGCTTTTGACGCATAAGGAACGCACGTGGGATCTAAATGCTACACCCAAATTGTGTCCATTTTATGGGGTATTTGGTATTATCGATGGATATTATTCCACCAACAAGATTCCATCGGAAAACGGTGTTGGACTTAAGCTGGCTGGGTTTCTGCATACAGCCAAGGAACGGTATCAATTGTCGGATTACAATGCCTTGCAACTGTTAAATTTCTTTAAGTACAATTTATTGGATGCGTCTCGTCATCTTGGAGGGACAGGATGCCCGCCCAAAATGCTGCTAGAAATCGATTCGCCTTGGCGACTGATCTCCGCCTCAATATGTGAGCTGGCCCGCTTGGATCAGTTTGCGACGCAGACATCCTTCACCAACTATCGTGAGTGGGTCAATATCAGTTCGAACATTCTGATTTGTGTCCAGCCCACGGACTGTATGTTCCAGACATACGCAAGCCGCTATTTGCGCCTACAGCGCACCTATTATCGGGGACGGCACATTTGGGTGTCCTGCGTCCTACCCGATAAGCATGGACCCTTCGAGGTTAACGGTCTGCTGATACCCACTTCTAAGAAAGCTACCTTAAGATATTACTACGGTATCATGTGTGATTTAGAGAAGTGTTTGGCACCACTTGTTCTGGCCTGCATGAAATGGTTGTCTGCTCGTGGATGAGTCCTTGGGTATAACAAATGCTTACAGACCGTTGAATCTCATCTGACAAACTATACAAGTCGAAAGCTAACAAGTATTTTATATTTAAGATCTTTAATTTAATCTTTTTTATATAAAATATCCAGTCAGTTATTTTTATAAATGCAGTCAAAACTATTTAAATGACAAGTCTTTTTTTGTAAAGCCAAATTATGTTCAAAAATATAGGTGATTTGATTCCGCATTCTTTATTTAGAAAAAATTACAAATACAGTTAAAAAAAAAATATATATACAAAAAATCTATTAAATGCATAGTTTTTTTTAAATTGTCAGAAATAATTGTATAAAAGCATTTAATAAAGTATGAAATTAAACATCAGAAAACCACTCTACATATTAAACAAGTATATAAACACATTGACACAAAGAAATATTAGTTAGGAAATGGTTTTAATTATTGCTCTTAGCTACATATAATCATCAATAAAATCTTTTCCTTTGCATATCAAAAGAATGAAAGAGCAACCCATGTCAACAACTCAAAAAAAGTTATACTTAAATATCAATTTAATTAAATATTATCGCTTTCCATCCAATCTTCATCGGATAGTTCGTTCTGCTCATCCGTCGAAGAGAAGATGCCATCGTCGTCGCCGTCTTTCTCCTGGTACTGATAACGCTGATATCGCTTCCAATGGATGTGCGCCATAGTTTTTGGGGGCGGCTTGGCTCGCTCCGTGTCGTAGACCAGCCAGTGGCTATGCTGCTGCGCATACAATGAGTTGAGTAAACTGGGCCAATACACGTTGAGGCCCTGCTTGGCCAGTTTTACATGCAACTGGTAACCATGCTGACGCTCTGACAAAATACGCACCTCGCCCAGCAGATTGAGAATGCACCGTTGGATTGGTGTTGTATCTTTGACCTGATATATCAGCACATTGCCCTGATGCAGGAGCTGATATTGCGGCACTTGCTGCTCAAAAATCAGCTCAATCTGCAGCAGTGTCTGATGCCAACGCACCTTGGGCCGCACAGCATGCCCAGCGATTACGCCATAATACAGAGCATCAAGCTTGATTTTTGACTTCGATTCGGTTATTGCTCTTGAGTTGTTTTTGAGTGTGTTTTTAAGATTGCCGGTTGTGAGAGAACTCGCCTCATCGCTGCCGAGCATATCGTGCAGCATGTGCTGTGTGGCAGCCCGCACTGACGGATCATCACTGTTCAGATCCTGCAGCAGTGCATCAATAAATGTTGCAACACTATCCGCGTCCGCTTCGTCTTGCCTTGCTTTTGTTGTCGTGTTGGGTTCTTCTTTTGAGTGCAAAGATTGCACTTGATCACTCGTAATCGAAGTGGCTGCCCCTCCTGGAACTGCAACAACTCGATTTTTTAAGTATCGCTTCATTAAACCATAAATATAGCTCAATTTGCTTTCGTTAACTGTTGCAATTGTCTCATTTATAATTTTTTCTTCTGGAGAATTATCTATCTCCAGAGATAGCTCAATTATCTCTTGCTCCGCTGCAGACGCTTTGGATGCTTCTGTTAGCTGACGCTGTTCCATTTCCGTCTTCTCATGCAATTTATGCAACTTTCGGATGCTCTGCTCATCTCGCTTGCCAAATCCTTGACGGATTAGCTCACAGGCTAGTTGGGTCACTCTCACACAGGTTCTCATTGTGGGGCAGTCCTGAACCACAGCCATTTCCTTGGCGTAGACAACATCGAGCATGGCGAATTCCACAATCAGTTGCAAATGCTGATTATCGTTGAGGCCACTTACCACATCGCTGACCCACTTTTTAGCTTCCGCTGGCCAATCGCCCTCACCAATCGATGGCGCCAAGCCGAGCAACCTCACATCCATAGCCAGGGCAGGTTCCTCTATGAATCGAGCATCGCACTCTAGTAATTCTGTGGGTTTAACTTTCAGCTGTTCTGTGCCCTCATCCATTAGTTGGACGGTGATAAGTCGCTTGTCCGACATGTCCACAACGCGCACCCGCTGGTAACTGCCACCTCGACGCAGAACACACACATCTGACATTCTCAGGTTTTGCTTGGTGCGACAATTCTCCTCGCAGCTCATGTGTATGTAGAGAGATGTGCTCAGTTTGCGCAGTGTTGAAAGATTGGATGCATCCCGCCAGGCTGTGCTGTCCTTATCCTTGTAGCTCACAGCCATAACAGCAAAGTGGCCTGGATCATAAATTGTCATAAGGTTGCAGCGCACAACGGTCCCTGGCTGCCACAGAGCGCAAATCGGTCGCTGAAAGTCTTCACTGACTGCGTCATGCCGTTTGTTGCAGTAGAATTGACGACACTCGCCGTTGTACAGCATTTCAGGGCAGAAGGGACGACTGTGATCCTTGAGCTGGCGACAACTGGCATCCAGTTGTTTAAGTTGCTCGTTCGATTCAATGTGATGGGCATTGAAGAACTGCACAAGACGCGGCAGCTCGTTGCTATTGCTCTCGTCCAGCATCACATAGGAGACCATGTCCTGCTTCGATATCGGTGGAGCCAAACAGTTGGCTATGTTGTTGCTGATCGCATGGAAACGATATGAGAACTTTGACCAGGACTCGGGCAGGCTGTAGTGAACAATTAGCTCATAATTCGCAACGGATACATGGCTTTGTTGACCCTCATCCGTAAGCAAAAGCAGCTGACGGAACTGCTAAGAATTTTGAGAGAGAAATATTAAACTTATTAGGCATGGTTGGAAAAATGGAGAAGTCTTTTTAAAATATATATATAAATATATACAAATAAAAATGAATAGTTACACATTATAAAAAGACTTGATTGCAGATTGCAGACTGAGTTCCTCACCTGATTAGCTGCGTCGCTTGGGCCGATGCATTCATGTCCAGCTGCTGTCAGCGCATGTTGCAGCTTTTTCAGCTCCGCCTCGTTTTTGCAGTAGACAAGTGTGCGTCTCTGCAGTGGCCTTTGGTTGGCCAGATAGTCGAGTAGCTGCTGTGTCTTCTTGCCGCTGGGCTGAACGGCCACGTTTATTTTGACGCCGCCGTAGACGGCTGCCTCCAGGAAGTCGCCAAAGAGGAGAAGATGATGCTGACCAAATCGCTTGAGCAGTTCATGGAAAACACGTCCATGCCACTGCTGAGCCACGAGGATTAGCTGTGGTATCTTAATGTTGTGCAGCAACTGGAGCACCTCATTTAGCAAGTCTGGCGCCGTACTTCGCATGCGATCATAATCATCGAAGATGAAATACTTGAGGCGTTGCGTATCGATCAGTTGAATGGCATGGCGCAACAGTTGCCACAAATGCGTCACTGTGGTAACCAAAATGCCACATGAATTGAGCAGCATCAAGTGCACCTCCTCCATGCACTGGGCATGTGTGTTGAGCACCTTCACCATGCTCGTGTCGTGGCCTGCCATCAGGATATTGCACTGATTGGACAGCGTTTGTGCATTGGCCACCGAGTCCGCCAGCAGCACAGCTAATGGTCCCATGCCGGGTGTATTCCAGGCTGCCATGCTGCCCATGACCAACGAGCACAAAGCGGGCAGATAGCACATGGAGCGACCGCTGCCAATGCGATCGATCAGCACCAGCGAGTTGCCCGCCATCAGATGGGGCCAAGCATACAGTTGTGTGGGCAGCGCCGTTAGCAACTTCAGCTCCACCAAGGCCTTCATTGTGTTTGCGCAGAGCTGTGACTCTGGCCAGGATCGCATGGCCGCAACTGGAGCTGTGCTGTGTGCCAGCACAAGATTTGTGCAGTTCAACGAAGAACTGGTTTCATTATGGATGCCTTCAAATATGGACTTGGAAAGTGTTTGTCGGTTCTTATTTGATTTCTTATTAGCTTGCTTGCCTTCCACTTTATCGGTTTGATCTGCCAATTTCTTAACTAATTCCGCCTGAATATTATTCACAGGTTGGTCAATTTTATTTGGCTGCAATGCATCTGGCTCTTGAATAGAAGCTTGATGCATTTGCGGTTCCTCTTTGATGTGAATGAGCCCCTTATCAGCATAGTAAGCACCAGTTGAAGTACCAAATTGATTATATTTCTGTTCTAGGTTAGCCTGCAGTTTCTGATGTGATTCCAACTGGTTATTGGTCTCAGATTGAATAATCTTATGCTTCTCCAATGATTCTTGACGGGTAGCTGAAGATTGGCAATCGCTTTTCACATTTTTTCGATCTTCTTCAATTAGGTTCAGCACACAGGGATTTTCCTTCAGCTTAGTGGACTTTTCTTCATTTCTTCTTGGCTGCCTAAACATCTCCAAATTGTATCGTTTGATTTGTATTGCTGTTGCTGGTTTTGCTTGCATTGGATCAACTGAAGCATCAAAACTATTCAAGGACCAGTTGCTGCTGTTGCTGCTTGAGCCACTGGTTGATTTCCTTGAGCCTCCTATTAGCGCCGTCTCCACAACGCTATCATTGCAGCTTTTCACCTTGGTCAGACGCTTTGCGGATTCTGGCATTTTTGGCGCTGCTCCGGGATCGAGTCCAACGTCTAACATATCCGGCATTTTGGAGAACAGCCTTTCCACGAGTTCCATAAAAACCGTAGAGCAGCAACTAGTCTCAATATCTGAATGGTTCAACTCCAACAGATGTTTGTCATAGACAGCTCTCGTACTGGCTTCTGAGCTTAGCTCCGGGCGTCCACATTCAGAGTCCACCAGATAGCTGGCAGCATCCACAAAAGTGCCACCATGCTGTGCAGACTTGATCAGTAGTTGACCATTGTTGTGCTGCTCCTCATTTTGGTACAGATTCTTGTAAACCAGCAACTGGGCCTCCAGCAGTCGCTGGTCAAGCAAGCGAACTGCCCTGTTGGACCATTCAGTGCCGCTGTTGGGCGCCACATGGGCCACGCCACCCCACTGAAAGTGGATGTGCTTTTGGCACAGGCTTGGCGGCAGCAGCCACATATCTTTGGGCTGGCATTTGATAAAGAAGCCATAATCCAATGCCCATACCAGATACTCGGCGTGCTTGCCAACAATAACGAGGCCACGCAAAAGTTTGCACCTGCTCACGATGACATGCTGATCCGGGACGTAGAACTCCCGCTGGTTGTCGACGTGACAATGCGGCGACAGTTGCGACTCCATGCGGTTAACCCTGACACCGCCAGCCGCCAGCTGCAGCCATGTTGTGTAGCAGAACAGATGCGGATTCACATAGTGCGTTATCACGATTCCCTCCTCGGGGTTAATGGCCAGCGGCTGGTTTTTATCCTCCAGTTGGTCTATAAGTAAGTAAGCAAATAAATTTTATATGATAACCTTTGCAAATAAAGACATATTAATGGCCAGAAGCTTAAAGTTCACATAATTTTCCAGAGCGCCGGCGAGAGTCATTCGTGTGGAAATTTCTCTGATTTCCACGCACGAGAAACTTTTGTCGCAAACGCAAAATAAAGTAAAATATAAAAAGAAAATAAATGGGGCAAGTTCAGTTTGAGACCATGCCAGCTTTAATTTGTTCAACTTTTGCACAATAACAATTCGTTGTGCAACTGTTGTTGCTGCTCTTTGCTGAACTGCAAAAAGCCGCAACTGGCGCATCTAGTTGAGGTCCTTGTGCTTATTTCTGCTGCTCTTTGAATGGACGCGAAACCCTCATCGACAGTTGGCAAACAGAAATTGTTGTTGAATTAACACTTTTGCTGTCGTTAGCCGTTTGGCACAATGGCAACACTTAACCCATTGCATGGCCTTATTATACCATTAAATATGCAAAACAACAAAGAATCATAATCAAAACAAACGAGACGAGATTCCTTATGAAAGAGAAAGAGCGAGGGAGAGGGAGTGAAACAAAGATCTCGCTCTTGCTGTCTCTCTCTCTCTCTCTCTGTGCATATCGGCGCTCTCTTCTTGTTGCTCAGTCTCCGTGTCAGCTGACGAATGCTGCTCAGATAATCGCGATAAGCTGCTGAGAGCAAAGGCAATACACAGCAGGAGAATAAAAAAACGCATAGTTTATCTCATAAAAAATCGTTTAAATACCACTAAACTGTGCAGTAGCACAAAAAATATGCAAATAAGCCAACTTACACTCGCTCCCTTATATGCTGACAATACAAGGGGATGGCAGATCAATCAAATGTTGGCTATTCAAGCACATAAACCAAAACTAATTGGCTTAAAATGAAATTACTACTGAAAGCAATGCAAATGTGTCTGCTTACTTTGGCTGCATTTGTCGCTGTTGCAGGCTGACATCTTTAGCTACACTGGCTCGAATTTCCGTTAAGTTTATAAAAAGCTTTAAATAGAAAAATCATTAATTAATATTTAACGAATTACAATCTGTACCTATTACCAAAATGGCAAGTCACAGAATGGCTGGTGGCTGGGGAGGGGGGAGGTCAAAAAACTGTCATTATTCCTTTATACGTGTGCCAAAATGTGCGTGAAATATTGCTCACGCGTCCATCTGTAGTGGAGCGGACATCTGAAATTGAGAGACGCAAAAAATGTAAACAAAACTTATAGCGGCGTCTTAAAAATGGCTTTATCAGCGTATTTTGAGAGAAGCATCGCGCATATGTATGTATGTATATGAGAGCTGTATGAATATGTGTGCACGCGTATATGTGCACAAGCTCAGCTTATAACATAAGAGATTAGAAGTTTATAATTTAATATATATTTTTATATTAAGCAGCACTCACCAAATCATCGATTGGCAATAAAATGTCAAATTGAAATCAACAAGTGCAAATAGGCGACAAAAAACACAATTAGAAAACACATGCATACATATAAATTATAAAATATTAGAGGAACATATTTTCTTTTATTTAAATTAACAACCAATCAGAGCACATTATCTACACAGACGATCCGAGCCAACAGCGCAACTGCGATCAACTGACTTTAGCGATGTTGTTACTTGAGCGCCAAAACACATACAAACACAACACACACACAGGCGAACAGGCACTTGTGCATGTGCATACATACATATGCAAGTAGACATGCATCTAGTAAGTGTGTTTGTGTGCTCATGTGCATGTGTCGGCTCGTATTTCTTTTATGAACCGTTTCCAACACACATACGTACATACATGTATATGTATACATACAGTTGCGGTCACAATAATAGTAGTGATGCTTCTTAAAGAACTTAATAAAAATATGACTTATTTTATCGCGATACGATCGGGACCTCTTTAAAATACGCAATATGAAGGAAAAATTCAATTCTTATCCGAGAATGTTTTAATTATACAATTATTTTCCAACAGCTTATATTATAATGATAAATTTAAATAATAATTTAATAATTTAAATAATCTTCAGTGTTGATTGCTTGTGTTTAAATAAAATGTGCATAATTTTATAAGATAAGGTCGGAAATACACAAAACCATACAATTTTTTATTTATTGTACTACCTTGAAAGAGTAATCCTAAGCACTTCAAACATCATTTACATATCTAATATGTTTACATATTTATTTACCCCTTTATAATTTTAAATAAGTAAATCACGAAACTGTTTTGTGGTATATTTACAGAACTGTATGATGCATAAACTGCTCACCTCAGGCCAATTAAACGCATACATGTATGTACATTTCATGTAAATGTTTAACCCGATAAATCATTGCAATCTGAGCCTGCACGCTCCTCCCTCTCAACCCCTTTGGCTGGCTAATTTCAACACAAAGTGCGAACAATTTATTTTCCCTCAAAAAAGTTACGAATTTTACCGTAGAAAACTACACAATTTCACCCTTTTTTTACCCACCCGCCAACAACTTTCACTCTTCCGTTTTTTTTTATTTCCTTTTTACTTTTTTTTTGTGCTACAGATTTCGTTTATTTTTGCGAGTCCTATAAAAAAAATGTTTGTCACTGGGTCGGCGTGGGCAACCCCTATATGCTTGTGTGGCTTTTACTCCTTTTTTTCTATTTGATTGTTTCATATTTATGAGGATTATGGTTTAGTGCTGAATGCGTCCGCTGTCTTGCCAAGTGGCTGCTACGTGTGGTAATTTATTTTACGGTTAAGGACTCCTTTTTTTGTTGCTGTTGTGATGGATGCTTCGGCTTGGGCCTAAGTGAAAGTTCTACTTCGCATTGTTTGCGAAATCTGTGAAGGAGCAGGAAGATCGCACGCCAAAGATAAACAGAGCAATTGTGTGGATGAGAGGTCAGTGCAGAGAGGGCAGAGGGCAAGTGCTCAGAGTTCAGCTCCTAACTGACTCAATTGAATTGTGGCATTTGCGATGCGCTTTGCGTTTGCCAACCGTTTATTTAAACAAATCAGGCCGCCGCCGGGTTAAAAGCCATTGAAAGCAAAAGGGGTTGTAATCTGATGAGTGGGGTTAGAGGAAGGTGGGATGTGGGGGGGAATGTGTGCGTTGACTTGGCACGCATTATTGTTTATTTTGCAAATCTGTGGATGGTCTTTGCGAAATGGAACATCGATTTTTTATTTCTGTTTTGGCAAACTCACACGCTGCTCTGAATAAATATTTGTAATATTTGGTCGCTTTAAAAATCGCTTGGAACAATTATACATATTATATATATAAATATCAACAAATAATTTTACAGAATGTTTGATGATTTTGTGACAAAAGCAGCTAGTTAACCTTTAGTCTTAAATTATAACTTTCATTAAGTAAACTACACAAACTGAATTTTCTTTCAGTAAAAGCCTTTTTTATTAATCACGTCATGCAAAATTGTAATAAAATTTCCCCATTTGGTCTCGTGTTTTCAAATTTAACGTACGTTGTCAAGCATTCGATATTCCCGTTGATATGTTATCGATAGTCAATAACTATAAATTGCCCAACTTGAACATTTTGCGATAGTCCACCACCATAGTATACTAATTTTGAAACGGCTTGCGAAACAGAAACTTCCGGCTAATTTAAAAACTATACCAAACTACCATTTACCCTATTGAAACTTATTATGATATTATACAAGCAGCATTGTATTATTAATGGACAAAGTTAAATTTACTATTGGCGGACACAATTTCTAATGTTCGTTTTTAGTGAATGCCAACTTGTGCGTAAGAAAATGCCTAAATAATCGATATGCACACGCATCACATGTCGGTAGCCATTTTTGTTTTCGATAATTTTATATTTTGTATCGACATACACAAAGCGCATCACACACATAGAGTCAAAAAAAAAATAATCAGGCTGCGTACGAAAAATTAAGAAAATTTATTCAGCGCTCCTACGACGAGTTTGTACTAGAGCAAATAAACCAGTCTTTCGTGTGCGTCGTCCAAAAAACTGCAGCAAAATAACTAAGTTCAACATACGCCTTGATAACATCATGTCGAAAAATAAAAAATTGTCGCTATCGAGCGACCCGACAGAAAAATTTATCTACAAGCCAAAGGATTTAATATGGTAAGATTGCTTGCTGCTATCTCACCCAAAAAACACATAATGTACAGTGCCTCAAAATACCAATAAGCAGCAAACGCTGCTCGTGCATTTTGAATTACACTGTATGGCACAAAAAGTTAAATGCAAACATACATAACCTCAATTGTCGCTCCGTTGGGCAAGCGACAAGTTAGTCTACATAAAAAAAGAAGAAATAAAAATTGCATTTAAACAATTGGTACACAATTAGAAATGCATAAAAAACTATGAAATACATGTACGTTCTACGAGCGACTTTGTTTTCGTTGTTTGTTGCGGCGTCGACGTCGCTGTCGATGCGTTGGCGCTTTTTTCGCGCGCGCACCCGAAATCATTGTTTTCTAAGCTAATACAAACTAAGCAAATGCGTAAGACATAGCTAAAAACGGTAATAATTTATTATATTTCAGGGCCAAGATGAAGGGCTTCACACCGTGGCCGGGAATGGTAAGCAAAATGTTTGTGTATCTGTTTGTGTTGCTGCTGCCGCCGCCGACAGCGACGCCGCTGCCGCTGCCGTGTTTGTTTTCGACTGTACTTTTTCATGCAGCCGAGCAACAGAACAAGCAGAGCAGAGCAGCGGCGTTGAACGTGCGCTGCTGCCTCTGTTGCCGTCGACGTCATAACGCACTTGTACGCTTCTTGGATGTTTGTGTGTGTGTGTTGCTGTTGTTGTTATTGTTACTGTAGCGTTGCTATCAACAAAGAGTTCTTTCGGATGTTACTTCTGAAAAGTGCAGCTTTCTTTTATGTGTACAGCCGAACAAATTAGAGAACGATATAAAAATTGTGTCTGAACTTTGAAATTTGTATGAAAGAATGTGTTGCTGCTATAAGGGTATAATACCCTGTACGTGTGTGAGAAAAGGGGGATGTCTGTTAGATGGGAACAGCATGTGTTTATAATTGTTGTACGTGTTGTTTACAGATCGTGGATCCACCGCTCGACCTGCTCAGCCAGCAGCGACGCGCAAACACAAAGTGCGTCTTCTTCTTTGGCTCGCGCAATTTGTAAGTAACTGAAATACGAGTTATAAAAAAGAGAATATATGTATATATATATATATTTATATGTGTATAGCGCTTGGATTGAGGAGCCCAACATTAAGCCTTTTGAGGGTCCGTGGAAGGATGAGATGGCGAAAGTTAGCAAACCGGCTTCGTTTAGGCATGCGATGGCCGATATTGAGAAATATGTGGAAAATCCTGCAGAGATTGATAGTCAAATCGATGAGAGTTGTGGCATGGCGAATCATGCCACTGAGGCAGACTTTGACAAGATTCGCGATGGCCTCGATAGCGATGAGGCGACAGCCGATGGCAATAATGGTCTCGTGCCCCATGTCGTTGGCAGCCCGGATGAGTCGGATATGCCGCACGCTGTTGTTGAAAACAATGCAAAGTCCACAAAGTCACCGGCAGCAATGACGACGGCGACGACGACGACAACACCAATGGCCAAGAGTCAGACGAAACGCACACCCAAAGCAAAATCCAGCGCTGCCGTCGCTGTCAGCAGCAAACAGGCGCACAAAGCGGCATCGGCGAAATCGGCAGCAGCCCAGAAGCGACGCATATCGGCACACCAGACGCCCACTGGTGGTTCAAGCGCCAAGCGCGGTCGACGCGCTGCCTCGGGCGATATGATGCGCTATGACAGTCCAGTCGGGGGGGATTACGATGGTGCCAGCTCGTCCTCGTTCGCTGCCCGGACGCGAATTGATCCAGATACCTTCTTGAGCCCTCTGTCGAAGCGTACGCCCAACGCAATTGCGCTGCTGGATCGACCAGTTGTCACACGGCCAGAGACAAAGGCCATTGACATGAAGTCACGTACGAACACACTGGTCGATCGCGCCATTGAACCGTCCGATCTGACATTTGGTTTTCTCGGTCTCGGCATGATGGGTTCGACCATAGTCAAAGACCTCATTTATACGGGACACAAGATTGTGGTCTGGAACCGCACCATTGATAAGGTGACTTGATTTAATTATTATTTAAAATTGCTTTGTCATTTAAACTTTTTCCCGCTCTTCTGTGTGTTTAGTGTCAACCTTTTGTGGAGGCGGGCGCTGAGGTTAAGGACACACCTATGGACGTGGTGGAGGCAGCAGACATAATATTCTGCTGTGTATCAGATCCCAAGGGTGCCAAAGACGTAAGTTTTAGTTGCAGATTCTGATGTATTCTTGTCTTCTATTTAATACGCTCGTTTTGTGTGCAGCTCGTCTTTGGCAACTGTGGCGTCCTGCAGCTGAAGGATTTGCGGAACAAGGCATATGTGGAAATGTCGACACTTGATCCAGATACATCGTTGGATATTGGGCTGGCCATCAAGCAGTGTAATGGTCGCTATTTGGAGGCACAGATCCACGGCACACGACAAGAGGCAGCCGAAGGCATGCTAATCCTATTGGCCGGCGGTGATCGATCAGTCTTTGAGGAGTGCCATTCCTGCTTCAAGACAATTGCAAAGAACACCTTCTTTTTGGGCAGTAAGTTTACACTGCCAATAAGTTACAATTACTTCCTTTCTCATCGTATACTAAAATTTCTTTCATTGTTCGTATCTAGCAGATATTGGCAACGCCTGTAAAGTGAACCTCATTTTGCAAACTATTCTGGGCGTCAGTCTGGTCGGACTGGCAGAGGCGTTAGCTTTGGGTATGTACTCCTAACTCTCGTTTATAAAACGTTTTCTAAACTCCAGTGATTTGCTTACAGCTGATCGTTTTTCCATTTCGTTAAACGATATCATAGATATATTCGATTTAACTTCTATGAAATCACCTATGCTGCTGGCCAAAGGCAAAGGTAAGTCTAAAAATTCCAAATCCCAGTATAAAAACTGTGGCATATCTGTGTAGATAGCTTAATAGATAAAGATTAATATGATAATGAAGTTAAATATAAAAGTTTTTAGCAAGCGTAGAATGTTTGCACTCACTAGAAATGATTTATATAATTAGCTAAACATATTACATTTGATGTGTATAATAAGTAGGCATTTTATTCAAGGTATCTTCTACTTGGTACTTATCAAATAGTACCTGCTTTTATTAACAGATAGTTTTCAACTTACTATCAACTTTTGTATATTTCAAATATATTTCTAATGAATAATTGTATTATGCTTGTTCGCAGAAATGGCCAAGGGCGATTTTAATCCGCAGCAACCGTTAAGTCATATGCAGAGGGATTTGCGTTTGGTGCTCAACATGGCTGAGAATTTGGATCAGTCGATGCCGGTGACGAGCATCACAAACGAGGTGTTCAAGCATACAAAACGCTTGGGGTACAGCGAGCACGATTCGAGTGCTGTATTCGTAAGATCCAGATTTTAACATTTAGTTAACACAGCTACCATTTAAACTAACTTTATCATTTAGTTTAAACCGTACACACACACACACACACACACACACACAGAAACACACATATACATTTAAAAAAAAAACTGACACACACACACACATCGAGACGCGTTGACGGCAATAACCACAATACACATGTAGGCAATGGATTGTATCAGTTTTCGTAAAAAAAAAAAACGAGAGTTAATAGAATCGTATGCCGGACACATTTTTGTTGTTATTGTTCTTGCAACACGAATTCTAATCCATTCATATCTCTACCCCTCCTCCCTCCAACTGCCTTCTACTACTCTCTCCCCAACACCCACCCACCTACCCACTCCCTCCCCCACTTTAACCGCAATCGCACACAAAACTAGGGTAACTTCTATGCAGATCTAAGACCAAACTTCAAGCCCGTCAAGATATTGGTGAACGTGTCGACGGATCGCTTGTCGCGTTCGGAAACGCCGTCGCCATGCTTGAGGCGGACACGCTGGGCCAGCGCTTAGGATGAGAGAGAGATGTGAGTGAATAAGTGAGAGAGGAGAGAGGAGGAAGAGTATGTGAAGAGAGCAGAGAAAACTTGAAGAGAGAGCTCGATTGATGAGTATTGACGAGCAGAGAGGGGCGCATATAAAATACAATATTTATATATATATATATATATTTATTTATATATAGAGCCAGTGTTGATTGAGAAGAAAGAAGTGTGAAAAAAGCGGACCGCTTTCATTACTCCTTGTGCGTGCAAAAAATAATACAATTTGATGAATGTTGTTTTCAATTTCTATTATAATTATTGTTTTCATTTATATTTGGCCTAATCATTAGCTGACGCCAAGCCAGTACTAGCCGCCCCCCCTCCCCCCACCTTCCCGGCCCCCTCGAAGAGTTCAGTTCATTTGCAAGAAGAGAGCATGTCGTAAATAAAACTGTAATATTATTAAAATCAAATGGAACAAAAAGAACGACTACTTTTCTCATTCGAGATGATGTTATTGTGTGTAAATGTTGCTTCCCAAATATAAGTGTATCAAATATATACATACTACATACATTCATGCACATGTATTTAACGACGAGAGCATGCGAATAAATTGTACAAAAAAAAAAGCAAATTATAAATATACACATTGTGAAACAATTGCAACATTTGACAAACTTTTCATTTCGAGGAGAGCAATTTGCTTGCTAAGTACGCGACTCTTGCTGGCTGCGCCTTCGATTTGATTTTTAATAAAATAATTCGTATATTATTATACAGTTAGTTTACTTAAATCGCACATAAAATCTAGTACGCATACTGCCCTATGCAAGAACTGCAATACCAACCACCATTTAGTAGTTTTCATTGTTCGACATCATTGAAACAAACAAACAAACAACAAGACACACAACTGAAACCGAGATAAGAAATTTACAGAAAATAAATATAAAAAAACACACAAAAAAAAATTAGTGTAAACTTTTAGAGCCAAGAGAGTTTCGAGGGATCTATATTAATAATAATAAGAATAAATATATACGTGTATGTATGTATATATATACATATATATATAAATAAATAAATATATTTTACTTATTATTTAGTCTGTATTTTGTTGTAAAACAAAGAATAATAAAAAAATCGTAATTCTTAACTATAATCGACAGTAGCTTAATTATTGGAAATATTTTACATTTCAATCGTCTATTGTATTATTTAGATAAATATTATTGAACTGAGAAGGCGATGCTTTTGTTTATCCAACATCATTCGCTAAGTTATTTCCAGGTGAAAGTTATTTCTAGCCAGTGAAATAAATTTGAATTCCAAGAATTTCAGCACAATCATGCAGCTCATAAAGATTCGGCTATTGTTGGTGCTGTTGCTGCACGCTTGGATTGCCAGTGGACAGGGAGAAAATGCGCTCTTGCAGGCAAATATGAAGATCTATTGCAGCACGAAGATCACATACGGAAAGGAGATAGCAGTTATGGTCACTTTAGCCAAATATCCAAGGTATCCAATAGTGCTGCATCTCAGCACATTAAAATATTTGCTGATGTATCAGGAAGTAGGCATAGGATCTGCACCAATGACGCCCACATTTCGAAATAGCGATCGAATCAGCGACGAATTGCAGCGCCATAATATAGTTCAAGAAGGACCGCTGGCCTACGAAAGCGGCTTCTATGTGGTGATAATGGCAACCTTCTGGGAAATGGGCTACACCAAACTCACACTGGAAGGCAGTGCGCCCAGCAAACGTGGCATTGAACCCGTTAACGAAAACATCCAATTAGACGTCAAAGCGCCGCCGTATTGTGTGCCACTAATTGTGACAAGGCTCTGCTCAAATCCCAACAATCCACTACCTGTGAGCGTGAGGCGAACGATCATTTTGAGTGCGCACGTATTAAAATCTTGCGATATGGATAGCCCGATTCTAACTTGGACTATTATGGATTTGATGGGGATAAGTGAGTTTTACATTATTGTGTACATCATCAGTTTGTTCAATGTTTTGTTTTCCAGCTGTGCTGAAAACCTATACGGACCAACGGAAATTATTCCCTTTGAAGCGCTACGAAATACGCTTTACAACGAAATTCGAGATGTGGCGCAATCTGTACATGATTCGAGTTGATGGCGAGTTCAATGGCTTGAAATATGCGACACGCTGCTATCTGAAGGTACATCCGGAGTATCTACAGGCAGTGATTAGTGGAGGCGTTGAAAAACATTTGCAATACATGTCCGATGTAGTCATGGATGGGACGGATAGTCGTGATTACTCCAAACAGCGAAGAGAGAAGCAATTTAGGACTTACAATTGGAAATGTTTTCCACAGGACGGCATACCGAATTCAGTTTGCCAACATGGCGTCATTTCTAATGGTATGCGGAACTAACAAAGTAATACACCATATATATTTATTATTTAAATTATTTGATTTAATCACACTGCTGAATCGTGTCAATTATCAATTGATTCATCACATTTTTCGATCAGTCATTAGTTACGTTGCTGACTTATCGCAGTCAGTGTGAATATATATATAAAGTATTTTTGACATTTCTCTTGCTTATTTTCAGCTCCGAAATTCACAATACCCGGCTATTATTTCGTGCTACACTCAACATATGTTTTCATGCTGACTCTGACCGCCGATGATGATCCAAATAAAACCTCTTACGCATTCCAGACCCTCACCATTGTCAGCTACGGCACCTTGAATATTGATATGCAATGCTTGTCGAACTGCGCCTTGGGCCAGTACAATGAGAACAAGAAGGTGCTGCTGCTGGCCAAGTGCTTCGACTGTCACACTCTGCACGATATCAGCTATTCGTGGTATGTTATGGATGCGCTGACGCTCAACACAAAGACCCTGTCCACACACATACACACGGCGAAATCGGTGGCGACCATCCGACTGGATGTGCGCTCCACCGATGGACGCATCGGTAGTGAGCTGATGACGCTTCGTCAAAATGTTCCACCCAAATACGGCAAATGTTCAATTAAGCCCATTGAAGGTGTGGAGGCACAAACACAATTCTCCATGTGCTGCGAGCAATTTAAGACGCACAATGCACCACTTGTGTATTTGTTCTATGCACGTCGCATGCTGTTAACTGAATGCCATAATTGTGCATGTACCATCCATCTGCCAAAAGATGTGCGTTGCGTTAAGGTCTTCATCTGCGATCATTCGCTTACGTGCAGCAAGAAGTATGTGCCGGTTACGGTTATCCCACTCGCCAATTTGACACTGAGCACACCGGAAGAGATCTGGGAGTATCTAACAACGGCACCGCACAATGTCCTTCAGCTGGCGACCACCGGTCACATGAAGCGCCTGCTGGCGTACATTCAATTCGTGGCCACACACATCGATAGCCCCGAGAAGGGCAGTGTTTTGATGCGCGCCTTGGAAGATGCACATCCATATACGCTTGCTTCACTGGGCAAATTGGCAACTTTAACGAAAACATTGGCTGTCCAGTTGACGCCCATCGGTGCACGGGGTCAACAGGTTTTGGTACGTTCGCTGAGCAAGCTAAACGAGGTATTTGCGAGCATTTACGAAAACGAAATGCAAAGATCACTCGTCGAGGAGCCGTACATGAATGTTACGATGTCCTGCGTCATGGTCTACGACATGATGAGGAGCTTGAGCAAGCAGTTACCACGGCCACCGCAAGAGATCTATGATAATTACAATGATGCCGTCACTTTTGAAAACCTGGATCAGAATTTAGTTGATTTACTGCTGCAACGGATCTATAAATACAAAAATAAGGATTGCAAGCAGCGTTCGCTCAACTGGCTGAACTCAATGTGGCAAACGGAGCGACTTTATCGCTTCCTATATATGGCCCGTAAACATGGCATTCAACCCGATGAGCCGAGTGGCTTGGATGTTGGCGTTGCCCTCGATATCCGTTGTTTCAAAGTGGAGTACGGTCGCACATATGTGACCAAGACGAGGGATAGGATGCATACCGTGTATACACGGCCCGAGTTGCTCCACGAGGTAATGGAACCGTACACCGGTTCGGTTTGCATCAAGGTCGTCTCGACTATACGCGAGCTGGGCTGGTGGTATCCGGAAGATAAACAGCCCAGCGCTGTGCTCCTCTCGGTGCACTTATACTTCCAAGAAGACAAGTTCAAGCACGAGATTCATTTGTCTGACAGCAAAATGAGCTTCAATACCGTCGTTAGCAAGTACAGGCCCGCCCAGGATTATCCGGAGGTCTCCAGTAAGCAAAGAAAATATCCCCTATATTTATAAATATTAATATGCAAAGATTCTTATTTTTGATTGCAGTGAATGCTCACAGCCAGGGACGAATCTGGTTTGACGATGACGACGAGGATACTGAGGATTCTGTTGGTGAAACTGGCAAATATGTAAATTTCCAGAAGCACGAGCAGCTCCAGATGATGCAGGAAGTGCGCGTTTATCGAACCAATCTGGATGATCATTCCATGATGGTAGTGCGCTTCCAGCACACAACCCATCGATTGCGAGCGCTGCTCATTTTGGATGAGACACCGCTGAAGATGAGTGAGGCGATTAGGAAGGAGGGCTGCGTTGTGCCGGCCGATTCAAGAAATTCAACGCTGTTGTTGCGCAACAATTGCTTCAGTTGGCATCGTGTTTATCTGGCGGTGCAGGTCGACAGTGAATACACCCATGAGGACTATGAGTCAACGCCAATACCCGGTGGACCGGCTCTCTACTCGTTTGCCATTCAGTTGCGCAGCTGTGACTATTGGATGTATTCGCTTGGCGAGGGGAAGGAGCGCTGGTCGCACACCCATTGCCTGCCCGGACTGGAGTTTCCGCGAAAGGATTCGATGTACTGCACATGCACAGTGCTGGGCACCTACACCAGCTATGTGTTCCATGTGCCCGCCATTGTTGTGCCCGCCAATTATAATATGGCCATCAGCACTAATTGGCAATTTGTGGCCATTTTTTTCCTTGCGATACTCCTCTTGTTGGTGTGGCTGATCGCACTATACATCTACCGCAATGGGCGGCCCTGCCAGACGGTCGTCTGCGATATGACCGGCTTGGAGGATAATGCCCATCGGGATGTGCACGATCTGTTGGTGTTCATCAAGACTGGGGGACGCATTAATGCGTTGACAACGGCCACAGTTCGCATCATCTTCCAGACAACGCAGCGAACGGAGTTGCAGTTCACGCTGATGCAGGACCCGGAACATCCCAAGCTGACGCGCAACTCCACCTATATCCTGTGGCTGCGCACCCGTGACATACGCATCCCTACCCGCATTGCCGTCTCCCACGACAGTGGGGGACGCTATCCGACCTGGTTCCTGCGGCGCATTGAGCTTATGGATCTGCAGACTGAGCTCACTCAGGTCTTTATCGTGCATCGCTGGGTGCGTCAGAAGATCATATTTCTCAGCTCGGCGGTGTTGATTCGTGTGGGCGATGAGAATGCCGTGGAGAGTTGGCGGCGTCGCTTCATCTCCGAATACGAGCGGCAGTGGATCAACTGGGGCCTGTGGCAGCCGCTGACGGGCAAGTGGAGGGAAAGCGCCGTCCACGACAATCTGACGCGTGCCGAGCGCGTTTCCATTTTTGTGACCAAAATAATGGTCACATATTGCATCTGTGCCTGCTGCTTGGGACGCACGACGCCCAACACTGTCTACGAGGATCGCAAGACTCTGGTGGACTACTACGACCTGGTCCTCATGTTCATCTTCAGCTGTGTGCTTACCAATTTCGTTCACTTTCTGTTCGAGCACGTTATTCTCAGGAAATGTAAATTTCGTCAATAATCATTTTTAATATTCCGTTTTTTTGTTAAGCTAAATTGTAATTTTCAAACTTTGTGTTCATTTTATGTGTGTTGTATTAAACTTATGTATTTAAATTTATGTTTTCTAATTGACAATTAAATCAGAACTTCAGAAAATTGATGAAGCCTTTTTTTCGATTTTCATTACGTATTTTCAATTTTATTTATTTAATGACAACTAAAGTCAATCAACCAAATTGAATTAAAAATTCAATTTCAATTTAAAAAATGAAGAAAACTTTATATTTCTTATGAGGTTTAGTTAATACACATTTGTATTATGCCTGTATAAATTTAATTATATTATAATTGATATAATAAAGTATTTTTTATAAATTGCAGTTTAATTGCGTAAAAGCATACGCTAAAAATATATTTAAAATCGAGCATTTGCTGATTGCTATCAATAGTTATTATCAGACTAGCGATGTGTGCTGCTTACTAGTCTAATAAAAAAATGCACATGCTCGAAAATCGTAGTATTTTTGTTGGTATTTTTTGGTGCATTTCATATTTACTTTGTACAATTTGGATCTTCCTCTTGCCGTACTCTTGTGAGTTTGTCGTGCGTGTGTGGCAGATCAAATAGAAATACTTGTAATTAATTAATAAAATATCCTCAAATTGCGTTTGACTTGACAGGAAAATGTCGGAAAAGAAACGAACACGTCGCCGTAAAGATGTAAGTTCCTGCCTCGATGGGCCCTCAAAATTGTCAGAGTGCGACGCAAAAACAAAATTAACGCGATGAGCACAGATGTGTGTGTGTGTGTGTATTGCACAGTCCAATTGGCGTGTTTGTTTTCATTTTGCAGCGTTCGATGGACCGAAAAATCAAACAAAACGCAAAAAAACTATCAATGTGAACTGAAAAAAGGCCATTTGAGTTGTTTTCCAAACGGTTGCAGCTTACATTTGATGTATTATGTGCTGCCATGCGGCCTGTCTGCATTTGCATGTTGTGATTCCCTATGTATGTATGTGCGTATATTGTGTGTGTGTATGCGTGCACTGTCTAATGCCCCCCTGCATGCATGCACCCCCGGCTATTATTAACTTATATTTGCTGTGTATTCCACTTACCCCCTTCCAAGTCGTAGATCGCATAATCAAACAGCTGTGTTTGCTGTAAGAGCTTGTAATATTTGAGCAGATCTGGCAACGTAGTGTATCAAGTGAAAAGTTTGCGTTGAAACACCCAGTGTTGCTTAAAGTGAGCAAATATTTGGATGTATGCGTGAGCAGCAGCAGTTTTGTTAGCGCGCTCTCGCTCTGTAAAGCTCTGCACAATCTGCAGCCGTCTGTTGTAAGACTGTGATCGCTTGCCCACTCGCTTGCTCTCTCTCTCTCTCTTGCTTGTTCTCAGGTGCACCCAGTTATCAGCGGTTTCGTTCGTATTCTGTTGTGGCTTTTGCTTTTGCGCTTGGCTCAATGTTATTGCTGTTGTTGGGGAAAGTTTCAACGACAAAAGTACCAAGCAATATATATATATACACATACACAAGTGTAGAGATTGATGTGTGAGTAGATCGTGAGCCATGTGTGGATCGGATCGGCACTCGTTTGACCAGCCAGCTGCCAGTTGCCTCTTTACTGTTACTGCTCATATTTAATACTTTCTAGACTCGCTTAGCGATTGCAACACGTCACAGCTCGGAAAAAACTAAACACAAAAGAAAAATAAAAAAATCTGCTGCTCTTATTTTTGGCATTGCATATGCGTTCTATTTTCCTTAATACACTACACACATTGCAAGTGCAACATTTTCCACAAAAATGAGAGAGGACGAGCACCATTCTGAGAGGGAACAAGCTGAGATTGAGGCGGAAGAAGAACAGGAAATCTTCGATGACGGCACGGTATAATTATTATAATTATGATTATTCTTATTACTGATGAATCTACGTATGTAAACGTGTGCATATGTTGAGCGATCGACAGTGTGATGAAATACGAATTGATGTCGTGGCCTAAATCCGTTGGCTGAAAGTAAAGCTAAAAGTAAAAGTTGCTTCAAGCTATTATTTTTTTCGAGACCTTATTCAGTTTATGCAAATAAATCAGTATACATGTTAAAAAGACTAGTATACAAACTTTAAATAATAAGAAATAAGAATTGCTGTATGCAAGTTGTTATTTTAAACAATATAACTATAAAGATTCGCTTGCTTATTTTAGGAATACACCGAGCCCGGAGAGCAGAAGGTTGATAAGCCATCGAAGGATGAGAAGAGCGTTGCTAAATGGCTGAAAAAGAATGTGAAGACAAAGAAGACAAAGTTTCTGAGTCACGTTGTCGAGTACTTCACTTCGAGCAAAGCGATCGATGGTCTGCTGAAGTCCAAATTCGCCGAGGGCGATAATGCATTGTTCACCACACGCGAGCAGGTCATCGAGTTCTTGGACATTATGTTGGAGCATAAGTTTTTCCATCGCGCCAAAAAGGTGCCCGTTACGCTGGACGAGGTGCGTGGCAAGCTCGAGAAGAAGTCAGAGTCCAGCAAAGTGCTGGACAAGGAAAAGGATAAAACGGACGCAAGCGGCAAGGGAAATGTGAAGTCGTCCTCATCGTCGGACAAAAAGGATACCGATTTGGAAGCAGATGGCGATGCAGCACAAGCCGGCAGTGCCGCCGCCGTTGATAAGAAGGAAAAGAAGAAACGTAAAATTCGACTGGACATGCATCCCGAGCAAATATTCGTTGACGGGTCGGAGGCATATGTGTGGATCTACGATCCCATTCCACTGCACTATTGGATCATTGGCTTCACATTGCTGCTCGGCGCCATTGGCATTTGCCTGTTCCCGTTGTGGCCGCCACAGTTGCGCCAAGGCGTTTACTATTTGTCCATTGCAGCAGCGGGCTTCCTCGTCTTCATATTGACACTGACCATTATTCGTCTGATTGTGTTCACTATCGTTTGGGCCTTGACTGGCGGCAAACTGCATTTCTGGATCTTTCCGAATCTGACTGAGGATGTTGGCTTCTTTGCCTCCTTCTGGCCACTGTATGAGGTAAGTGTACGAAATACGTCTTCAAATTACTCAACTAATTGACTTAATTCTATAGAGCAATTATGTTACTGATGCATCTGCATCCACATCTGGCTCTAAATCCGACAAGAAATCCAAATCAAAATCAAAGAAAAAGGACAAGGACAGTGACGGTGAGGAGGATACGGCTGTCGATGCAGATGGTGACGCTGATGGTGATGCAGATGCGGATTCGTTGCCACTGGAACCCGAGAAAATTGAGCTAATCAAAGAGCACGATGCCGACATGGAGGTGCGCAAACGTCGCCAAGTTGGCGCCGATGAGTACGACGAGGATGATGATGAGGCGGCAGATGGTGAGGGAGCGGAGACCTCACCGCCGCAAGCGGATACAATGGCGCAAGCCAAGGATACCAAAGCTGGGTAAGCAGGACGCTTATTTGATTTTTGAAGCGAACGAATCTCGTTTTTCAAAGCATTGCTCGAATTTGAACGTATAATATATTATTGGCCTTGAGTTTGTTGTTAACACGCAATTCAAGTCAGCTTAACTTTAGATGTTACCTGTGTACATTTCTGTTCCTTAATAAATTATATATTGTATGATTTCAATATGTATTAACTTTTATTACTCATAAGTTCGTTTTGCGAATTTTTTTATATTTTTTTGTTTTTGATTCTCATTTAATTCTTTTAAAGCATGTCATTCATTCATAACTCACTCAATTGGTAGTTGGTTCTCAAGCTTGTGAACAAATGTGGTTGGCCAACTTTTGCTTAAGCTACGGTTAATATCATTATAAAACTTGGTATGGTAACAGGAATATATTAAAAAACAACAGGACACAGAAAAATAACTATTTTATAACAATTAATTTTAATTGCAGCTATTTTTGTAGCCAGGTAATGTAAGCCTAAATAAAATGAACTAAGAAAAATATACATAATGATATACTCAAAAGGATTTCTAAATGGAAAAATGAAATTAATCAGTTTTGAGAAAACAATGTTTAATATTTTAAAATATAGGAATAAAATGATTAGTTAATCTGAGTAAAATGACTTTGTGCCAACCTGTACATACTTGTAATTATGTATATTGAAATCATATCGCATGCAGAGCATTTTGGAATTGGCTCACAACATTTCCAACCAATTCCATGTATCATATCCATTCCATTTGCCATTGAAACTCATTCAAGCAGTTCGATTACAGTCTGTTCTGATTCCTTGAGTTTGAGCTTCTTCGTAGAGTGTGGATATCAAATATCAAGATTAACCCATTAACTGAGTAAGTTTTATAAGTTTAATTTTTCACACACATACACATACACACACAAACACACACACGCACACACCTCATATAAATCTTTCACAATGTTTGGCTAAAAGTTATTTATTTTTATTTTTTTTATATCAAATTTGCGTTGTTTATATTATGATCTGTTTTCGTTATGAGCTTGTTGAGTGTTGTATTCAATCTAAAAACGTTCTCTTTTTGCAGCACGCCACGCAACTCGGAATCGGATTCGGAGAGCTCGAGCAAAGATTACGAAATAATTAGTTCAAGTGAAGTGCAAAACGTTGCTGGCAACTGAGCGGCGAAATAAAATGAAAAACAACAGCAACTCAAACAAATTCGAAGCTTACTGTATTTAAATAAACACAACATCCATTGCGAGCTAATTGATAAGACAAACTGACAAGAACAACAACAATTCATGTTGATTCCAAACAGATGAAATATGTGTCGGGCTTTTCCGCACATTACGCAAATGTCCACAAATAGAAATTCAGATTTATTTGTATTTTGAATCTGTAAATGATTTAATTTTTTTGATATTGTGCCTGAATACACGACATTTCCTACCATTATGCATATATTGAAATAGCAAATATTATGCGAAGCATTTCGCTAAATGCAGTTGCAGTTGCAGTTGGTTTTGTGTTTTGTTTTTATTTTATTTTTTTGCTATATTTGTTTACTGCTAAGTAATGGCAAATGAGTTCTCAAATTGTTTTTAACTTTAAATATTATACATTTTATAGAAATTTGCGTGCAGCTCAGTGTTTGTTTTTTTTAATTGAGTGCAAGCAACGATTGCTATTGATAATAATGTTTATGATGTGCATGATTATGATTATACATATATAAATATACTTATGAATAAATATATACACATACAATATATTTAATGTACGATCATTTACTTTAAATGTAATTAAAGCAAAAAATAGCATTGAAATTAGTAGTGTAAACACCTAATTATTAAATTAAATAAAGCTAGGCAATTCTGATGTGAGAAATCATAAACACACCGCTCGTTTCAATTACAATCGACTTTATTCCGTTATAAATATGATTAAGATAGAAAATATATATGTACTGTCTATAACTCGTCGCTAAACTGCCGCTCGATATGATATTGGCCTAGCAAATAATTCAACAAATACCAGGCATAGCGTGGAAGGACCAAACCAAATACGACAACGACACCGGCTAACTGGTAAATTGGAAACAACAGTTTAATAACAAACAAATTACAATATCCAAACTATACTCACCAAAATCAGACAATATGCCATCCAATATATCAGCCAAAAGGTTATGGTGGCACAGCCACTAAGCAAGGCAGCTGCAGGATTTCGATAATGTACTTGAGGTGCTCCTGCCATTTTCCTTAATTCCACTGGTGTGCACATTTTCTGGAAAATAAATCAAATATAGTATACCATACAATAAATAAATAATCTTAACTATTTTGATTATGCTCTGAGCTGATATTTCTAAAATAAATTTGGTTACTTTAATTGGCAGACTACTTAAATTATCTGAAACTCATGTTAATTTTTTAAATGCATTTAAAAAATATATATATGTGTGATACAAAATTGACTATTTGAAATTCTTGTTATTTTTTTTAAGATGAGTATTTATGGAACGTTATTCAGTAATACAACAAAGTATATAAATTTAAATACTTTTTAGGCAGGTCGAATTTTTCCAAAATCACTATTAATTGTATTTAGTATTTTTAAATCAAATGCTAGTTATTATTTCGTACTTAATCATTACATTTCTGAATTGAATATTACTTCTATGTATATTTTTCTACAATGATAACGTTGACTAATTAAAGGTTAGCAGCCTAATAGGCTTCGTCATCATTTCATTGATTTTCTGTTGCACCAAATCATTTGCTATCCACAAGTCATTATTCTTGCCACTTTTACGATTCCTTAGGGTTTTTTTCTGCTTAGCATTGCATTCTTGTGGCTTGCTTTCAATAATCATATTTTCATCGCTGATTTGCAGTGGCTTATATTTAATATGCCGCTTTCTGTGCTTGAATGGATGAGCTGGCCAAGCAGGAAGCTTTGATATTTTTGGTTTATGCATTTTCCTGAATATACCATTTTCAGATGATTCTTCAGTTAGCTGAGAACTTGCGTACTCTGCAACAAATGATTCCCAGTTGTCCGACTCAGCGCTGTGATTATCTTTAACCTTTAGAAAATCGAACATTTCATTTGCTTGTATATCTGGAGTTCGAAATTCAAAGATGTCCAAAGGTTCCTTTGTAATAGCAGGGCTTAGAAAATGTCTTATAATCTGTCCATTGCAGGTCACATTTTTGGTGAAGGACACCATTTTGGGTAGCATTAACTCACTGCATGCATATTGAACTCGTTCAAAGGATTTCGTTTTCTGACATCCAAGTTGCTTCTGCCCATCTAAAGTTTTTGTATTCTTAAGAGGCTGCACCTCTACAGTTTCTTTGGAAAGTTTAACCTTCGGAGTTGTATATCCGAAACATGATTCGAAATTTGTGGAATTTGTAGAGGATTGTGCCCGTTCCAATTTGACAATTGGTTCGACATCATTTCTAAGTTCATCCGATTTGATAATGCTAATAGTTGATATTTTTTGCTTAGATTCAGATTTTTGTCTTCTTTTAGCTTTTAAGTCCAAGTTCTTTGTGTATCTAGTTTTAGAATTATTGAAATTGGTATCTGTCGATGTATGGTAGATACAGCTGGGCTTGTGGATTCCATTTCGATTTATTGTTGAGGAAGCTTTTGGCAAGGTGTTCTCATTTCGTTTATTCAAGCCACATTTTGGGCAGCACTTTTTTTTGCTGATATTTGGCTTTGGACCCGATGGCTTCATGGTGCCATAGTCTATTTTCTGTGCACCTTTCAAGGGCTTCAGTTCATCGCCATCGCCCGATGCAATTGTTTTGCCCGAGACTGGTACGAATAAATCACTGATTACAGACCACATTGATTGCCTATTTGGCATTTGCCCTGCCGATTCGACTACATCCCCCCTTTTTCGATGAGCACGAAGTTTGCGGCATACTTTGGAATTGTTTCCGTTTTTGGGAAAACGCTTGAAATACTTTGCATCACCTGCTGATTTATTTGAAGAATTTAAAGGCAATTCATTTGACATGTCATTGGAATGATTTGGATCTGACAAAGGAGTGTCTTCTTCAACGTTTTTCGTTGGAGTCTTGTCTTGTCTGTCGCCGGCTTCGGTGATTACTTGAACGGAGGCTGATTGATGGCTTTCAGCGGGTTTGTCCTGTTCGGTCATTAGGGTTAGCTCAGTCATTTCGTTCTTAATTATTGGATTCGTTGGTGTGTTCCACAACATTTTATCCGTACCCTCAATGGCCAGCAGATCGTCGTAGGCGGGCACCTCTCCGCCACGACTGCAGGCCGACTCTGGTCGGGGAGTGGAGCATTTCAGACTGCTGCTGTTGCTCGAATTGCTGCTGGATGCACTGCTGTCCGGCTGCAATGGAGCGATCACAGTAGCGGCCTGAGGATCTGCCGGCGGAGCTGTGGGCTCGTCAAAGGGTGACGATGTGGAGTTGCTGCTGCTGCTTGGTTCCAACTCGAAGTGTTGTGTGCGTGGCAAATACATTCGCTGCGCCATCTGCGATGCGTTGGACTGATGCAGCACAAGCCAGGCGCTGTCCACAACCAGCGCATCCTCCGAGGGTCCATCGTAGCTGTCAAATGGTTCGAACTGACTGACTGCATCAGCGACATGAATATCTTTAGACGCCAAGCCGCCGCCTTTGGCTCGCACTATCTGCTGCCGGGTTGGAATCTCGGAGAGCGGCGGCAGCGGACGGCTGCAGTGTCGAGGTAAAGGTCGTCCAAAGACGTGACGTTGCCGCTTGGAGATGGCGCCACTTGCCACATTCGTAATGGGATGATTCAGTGGTATAAATTCGCTGTAAAAGATCTGTTCATGTTGGACGGGCTGACGCTGGCGCAGATGCACCGGTCGATTGACTATATCGGGTGCAATCGCCTCCAGGTTGGGCATATCACTGCTGGATAGATGCCACAAGGATTCGGTCGTTTTCCGAGCTGGTGTCGATGCTGGCGGTGTGGATGCCTTTGCCTCCGCGTCAATTTCTAGCAAATTTCCTGTGGCTGGATCATCTCCATCCTTGCCTTTGGGCTGCATCCTCTGCGGCTTGCGATAATGTCCAGTGCGACCCACATTAACTTTATTGTTGCTGTATCTGCATTTTGCCACTGACTTGAGTTGTGGCTTCTTGGCGTGCACTAAGCCCGGCTGCGCCTTTTCCTCCTCGGCACGACGTCGCTCCGCTGCTTTCTCCTCCTCATCGCTGGAGGAGCTGGCGTAAGCGCGTGGTCGACGACGTCGTCCGCACACCTTGCACCAAACATCGGGAGTCGGAGCAATGTGCAGGATTGACCGCGGCAGTTTCTCGCATAGACACCAAGTCGGCGTTGTTCCGAAACGGGACATTTTCTTCAGGTACAGCGAGTAGAGTTCGTAGAAGCGAAACATTTGCGAGCAATCGGAAACGATTCGAGGATTTTATTTTATTTCGGTGCGTTGGGAAAACTCCAGAAATTAAATGACTGCTAGCCGTATTCGAAAACGAGCAGGTATCGATTTAAACAGTTTACTGTGTTTTGTTTTGAGAACATAATCTTTTTTTTCAAATACAAAGCAAACTGTGTTGCCCATACAAATACGAAATTGGAGTCCAGGGTATCAAAACTGAGTTCTGAGAATTTGTATGTATTTATCTTGATATGTTAACAATACAAAAAGCTCAAATAATATATGATTTCCCCACTTTTAACAAACTATGAAAACACGACAAATTTTCTTAAAGCATGTGATTCATAAAATATTCTTATGTTTTAAGTTATGATCACAGTTTGAACTTATGCGTATTTCAGATATGTTAATTGAAGTTTTTGATTTGCAAAAGTCGATTTTTCCATCTATTTCGATGATTTCGCGAATTACTATTTCCTTCTTACATTTTTTTGTTTACCTTTAATTAAATTTAAAACATTCACTCACTTTGTGGGGTCTTTCATACATTTACTTAATATTTTTTTATTGTTGTGAAGTCACTGCTAAGCTGAAAGAGCCCAGATTTTTTAAGTTTAATTTGTTTTTGTTTTGTTCAATTCAAAATCCCAAAGTTTATTTCTCGGGACACAAACCCGTTATACCGGCGACATTTTTGGTTGCACTGATTTTTATTGATTGCTTAACTGTGTTAAGGACACACATATGCACCCACATATATACATACACATATGTATGTGTGTATAAGCCAGTTGCATGTGAATCTAAGTGTTTTGTCATGTTAGACATGTTTTTATTTCACAAGTTGAAAACTGAGTGTACATTATGAATTCTTAGTTCAAATTAATGCTATTAGATGATAAATATTAAAAAAATGAATGTGGAATATTTATTTACAAATTAAATTACAATTAATAATTTAATTAAGAACACTAAGACAACTTTTTGTCTACAGTCTAATCGATTATTGTTATTAATCAAAGCACAAATTATTATGCTGCACATCAGTTAGGATTTTTAAAATTATTTTTGTTATTTATATTCAAATTGATTGTTATTATAAATTATTATGCTGAATGTAAAATTATTTTCAGCGAATTCCAACATCTTAAATCGAAGTACATTTAGTATATTCAATTTAATATTTATTCAATATTCCAAGTGTTCTTATTTTTCTATTAATATTATATATTATTTCGGACAATAATTTGAAATCTTTAATAAATTTGCCCGATCGATGCAATTCATGCAGCAAATACTTTTCATATGCTATTGCAATATTTCGCTGGCCAATTCTTTGATAGTCCGCCTGGCTTCAAATCCTCCCTTTGACTTGCAGCACGTAGAAAGTCAAAGAACGCATTAAAAGCGCATTGGCCTCAAAAATTGTGTTAAATGTTGTTGTGCATTTCCGGCTCATTGGATAGCAAAAGGCGTTGCATAGTTTCGAGCGTCCGATGCCCAATTTATATACGAATCCAAGTCTGTACCCAAATCAAGCATAACTATAAATTATAAATCCAAGTCGTTATACGACCACTGTGCACGTTCGTGCGTTCATTTTGAATTGCAAGTCAGCTTTTGAGGATTTATGCGAGTTATTGCCCATAAAAATACTCGTTTTTTTAATATAATATATGTATGGGTCATATTAGTTGTGGACCGTCTATGAACCTATCATATTGCCGCTTAATCGTGCACTGTTTTAAAATGTATGTATATATATTGGAATTACTGCGATAGATACTGATATTGCTGGAGTGGGGGAAAGTGGGTGCAGCAAAATGATTTTGTTGCTGGCGCTGGTATTTTAATGTATTTTCACTGGAATACTTTTAGCGTTCCTCTGCAGCAATTTTTACTTCGTCCTTGCATTCTTCAGTACGTTTCCTTTACGTTTCCTTTACTGTGCTTTTATTTATTAACAATTTTTTGTTTTGGTTGGTAGGTTTTCGCTTTACTGGTTGTTGTTACTTGGCATTTATTGCGCTTGACCAGCATTTAAAACGCAAATGGGCAGCGGTTATTTAATGTGTGCCAGCAATTGGATGCACGCGCACACACAAAAGAGGCGTGGTCGTGGTCTGGCAATGAATTTTCCTGAAAATGCAAAAATCAATCAATAAATGGTTGAAGGACTTTAAAAGCTATCGGTTGAAGTTGCAGTTCTTTTGCACGAGGTTAAGATGCGAGATAGATTGGTTTCTATTGAATGGCAAAGAATTGGCCAAAAAAGGCTTTGTATCCGCTGGTTGCCACAATCAGTTGAGACAGCTTTAGATGCACCTCCTAAGGATTAGACTGAATTTTAATTGAAATTAAAAAGTTTCGCCATTTTAAACTAAAACAATTTCCGCTATGGTTTAGCGTATTTTTCAAGTAAATACACTAAGAAAAATGAGCTTTCTGCGATCAAATAATACATATAAAAGTGAACTGTTTTCTTATTTTAGATTTAATATTAGTTATGCTAAATTAATAAATTCACTTAGATTGGTTATATATAGCATAATTTTCCCATTTCTATCAGATTTAATTTTTTTATTTATGTGAGATAAAAATTGGAAACAAAATGTTCTTTAAAATGCCAAGTATCTTTTACATATTTTGTACAAATAAATAGTTATAAATTTTGCAATAATTGATAGAAAAGTGTTGTTTTTTTTTAAGTGTACACCTCTTGTATTTATTTAGGCAACCCCGCAGGGATTGGGGAGTGGCCTAGCACTTTTTTTCTGCCTGGCTAGCTGGCTGAATCGCCATACAATATAAAAGTCTGCTCCAGCTCAATCCTGCTGTAAGTGTAGCTGCCACGTGACTTGTAAATGTGTGTTGTTTTTTTTTTGTTTGTGTGTGTCTGGGCATGTGGCGCATGCATCAGAAAGCATCTGTGCAGAATGTGCAACGCACCAGCTGTTTACTTATTTAACACTGTTTGTACATTTCATAATTCAAGATGCTACCTGCGAGCGGCATTAAGGGAAAAGTTGCTGTGTTGTTGTGGCACCGAATGTTGCTGCCACGCATGCGTAGCCGTCACGCCCTGGGGCGGTTATGTGTGTTTTGAACGTTACTTCTTTAATAGAATTTTATATGCAGCCTCTGCAGTTTTTCGCTCTGGCTCCGGATGTCATTCGAAGTTTGTTACGTTAAGTGGAAATTGTTGTCAGATGTATTGAAAAGGTACACCGGCTCTGACTCGAGTCTCTTATGTAGTGTGACAACCTTGAAAAGCACTCAACAAATAATGCCACATTCCCACACACACACATACACTTGGCTCGATGCTAACAAAAGAGTTTTTGCATTTGTCCTTTGTTCATAATTATGTAGCTGATTTTTTTTTAGTGCAGAGTGGTCGTGGGAGTTCGCGAGTTCACCATTCAAAGTCCTTTATCCTAGTTTGTACTCTTTGGAAAAAGGCTCCAGCTGGTGCTGATATGATTGGTGTTGATCATGAATACATATACTATAGGAATCCATTAAAAATGATTAAACAGCATTTAATGGTTTTGTGACAGGCAGAAGAATGCATTTCCGACCTAATGAAGTATACACATTCTTGATCAGGAAGCTGAATCAGCTGAATCCAGTTAGCCATATTCCTCTGACTTACTGCACCTCTGTGTGAAAAACAGATCTCATAGGCTATATAAACTAAACCCTTTAAATTTGGAGTATAAATTATCGTCAATCGCGCGCAGAAAAAGTTTACTTTATTTTATCGATAAATGTCCCCGTTTCGCGCATATCCATAATAAATAAATAAAGCATTCAAATTGCTTATATTTCACTAAGGTTCTAGAAAGCCAAAAACAGCTTTCACAAAAATGTTGAGCAAATAAGATTGTTATTTTTGCGGTGCTTTAAAATTTGAATTTAGACGTTTCGATCTAATTTTCGATCTAATGTGTTCATTATTTCATTTTCCTGTGGAGCGAATATTATATAAAGGCGTCGTGATTGCACACAAAGTGCTTATAGAATACGCTTAATGCTGTTTTGGCCCTTTTATGGGCCGATGGTTTGCTGGTTTGCCATTCAAGTGCTGAGGCTTTGTTGGTTGGCCAGCAACTTCCGTTTTCATAAAAGTGCCTCGAAAGGTAATTGTTTAAAAATATATTTCATTTTATTATGGCGCACTGCTGCACAGTTACTCACCCCCAACGAGCATATTCTCAAACAGACACCGGTACACACACACACACACACACATACACACGCACACCCAGTCTGTCTAGTCATGTGTGTTTGTATTCATGTATATTGCTGCAGTTTTCCAAAACTAACCAGCAAAATTTGCTGCTGTTGCGGTTTATTTTGTGTTGCAAAAATATGCAGAGGCATTCTGCCCCAGCAACCTGAACTACTATATGCCCTGTGTACTGTGCACACCCTGTATATAGTCAGTCGCATCTCGCCTCTCCCCCTTCCCGTTTAGAATGCTCACTTGCACAATGTTGAGCTTGACTTTTTGTTGGCTGTGCCTGGAATTTTGAGTTTGTTGTGTGGCTTGTTATTTTAGCCAAAAGCTGTTAAATTGCACAAAACAAAACAGAAAAACAGCAGGGAGTCTGGCTGTGTGTGTATTTTAAGAGGTGGCTGCAATGTGCATTTAGCTCTGGCAGTCGACTGAACATGTGCGAAATATCTGACAACAACAACTCCCACTGAAATCCTATGCACATTAGGCCATAAATATTAGAGTCAGTGTCAAAAGGAATATGTGCGTGAAATACTTCTCAGATAACTGCGTGGGACTTACAAGCAACTTAACGAAAACTTCTCCTTGGCTTAAGTGCAAAAATTTTAACGAGAATCGGTGTGCTTTGCATTTCAAATGGTTTTGTTTAATTGCAAGCAAATCTTGCATATTTTAATAAATTTCATTTCACTCTAGAGTATAATCATACACATAAATATGTGAAATTAGGAGAATAAATTATTTAAACTTGAGGTAAAATATAATTACCTCAGACTTAGTCCCTATGTAGAAAAACATGTTAAGCGCTCGTCTTAACTAATTGAATTTAA